CCCCCCCCCCCCCACCACTCCCTCCCCCCCCCCCCCTTTTCCTCTCTCTTCCCCCCCTCCCCTCATATTTCACAGCTCCTTCTCCATGGAAGGCCCATACCCACGGCCCATGTCTGACGCGGCCATGCGGTTCATGCCCACAACGGCACGGGTGCGCCGCCGCCCGCGACCAGCGTCCCAGTCGGCCCGTCGCCTACGCCGGCGGCCGGTCTCGCGGCCGACATCAGCAGAGCTTCGTGCGCCGCGAGCACAGTCGGCCGGACGCCGGAAGACTCGCCGTGGTCCACAGCCAGTTCCGGCGCGCGCTGCGCAGTTCCAATCGCAGTCGTCATCGGAGCCGCCTTGTCCTGATCCTGAGCGCAGCCTTCCGCCGCGCCCGCCCACTGCCCAGCAGCGGCTCGCCGATTATCCGCAGCTTGCCTCACTGGTCACTCTCTTCCGCGGAAAGAACCCAAAAGCCGCCGAGGCTGCCGAGGCTGCCGAAGCTGCCAAAGCTGCCGAGGCTTACGATGCGGCCGTAGTGCGGCCGATGATGCCCGCGCCCGCGCCGGCGCCGCCGGCGGCGCCGGCGCCGCCGGCTGACCTGGCTGCGCCGCACCGTCGGTCCCGACCAGCTACGGCACCGGGGCCACGGGCGCTCCGACACGGCCGGTCGCAGTCGCGGTCACAGTCGCGTATGCGTGTTGATGCCAGTTCGGGCCGGATGTTGGACATTCTCGCGGCGCGGGCGCAAGCCAAGCCGTACTTTTACCGCTGGGCCGCATCGGCGGCAGCTGACGAGCTTCCGCCGACTGATCCGCCGTCGTGGGCCGACATGGTCATTCACGCCCGAGCCAACGAGGGCGAGCTGCCACCGACACTCATTCCGCCGACCTACCACGTGAGTAGCAAGACCACGGTGGTGGCACCCGAGCTGGCGTCGTGCGAGGTCAACTCGTACGCTGATGGTACCTTTGACGTCAACGTCTTTCCGGGACGCTCTTCTGGCGTGCTCAAGGACGGCGCGGGCCAGGCCAAGCACCTGCGGCTTGCCATGGACCAGATGCTGCACGCACAGCGGGAGCTACTGCGCGGCGCAAGCCCGTCCGACTCACTCGAGGCCCTGCTTGCGGAAGAACAGGTGCTCGAGGTCTGCCTTCACGAGGTCGCGCGGCAAGTCATGGTCCACTCGGTCGAGCAGGGCTCGGCGCTGTATGTTCTCTGGGCCCGGATCTCCGAACTCTTCAGCCTCGTTCCCACCGTAGTCGAGAGTCTGCGGCAGGCGGCGACGAACCGCGAGGAGGCACTCGGACTCGCCCGCGAGCAGTTTGAGGCCGAGGCCAAGGCTTACGCCGAGCACATGCAAACGCGCGAGTCGCAGCTCACGGCTCACATTGCTCTCCTCGAGTCGCATCTTGAGTCGCAGGAGATCGAGCTCCACGAGCTGCAGGACCGTGCCCGCCGGCATGAGGAGATGGGCACCTCGGCACTGCTCTCGGAAAAGTTTGCCAACATGGACGCGCTCTGCATGGAGCTCAACATCAAGACGGTCACCATCGAGCGTCTACAGAACGAGACGACCAAGATGGCTCGCAAAATCGCCTCACTCGAGCTCGTCAACGCCAAGTACCAGTCTGAGATCAAGAGCCTCAACAGCCAGCTCCGCGACGCGCGTGCCATGGTCTTGCGCCTCGAGCTGGAGACCTCGGCATTGCCATCTGGCAACGTCGATGCCCTGCCGGGCGCCGAGGACGCCGACGCCGCCGCCACTGGGCCGCCGCGCTCGATCCGCTCCAAGGTTCAGGAGTGGGAGACCGAGCGGCTCAAGCTCCTCACTGAGATCCAAGAGCTGACCCAAATGGCCGAGGCCAAGGCGACGTTGGCGCTCAGCGGCGATGTCGCCATTGTGGCTGCGGCTGAGGGCGGAAGCGGGCGGGCGCATCAGCTTGATCCCCGTGAGCAGCGGTGGCGCTACGAGCGCAACCTGCTTCTCAACGAGCTGTTTCAGCTCAAGGCCGAGAATGACTCGAACGCGTTGCACAAAGCGCTGTATCACGCGCTCACCCGGCGGTGCGCCCGGCTGCACCTCGAACCGGGCTTTCAGGTCCGCCGGGCGGTGAAGTCCAAGGCCTGGCTCGACAAAATCATCGGCCTTGTGTACTACGCCAAGATCTCCGAGCTTCAGCACAAGGAGACACCGCTTCTTGCGCAGCCGTTTCCAGAGTTTGTCTACGAGTTTCTTCTGCGGACCTACTCGCGGCGCTCACTCGTCAACCAGTACGCGTACGACATTGTGCAGGCTGTCGACAAGTACCGTCGCGAAGATCTCTGGATCGACATCTTTGGCCGGTTCCTCGACGAGGACCTCCCGCCGCCGGCGCTCCAGTTCTTCATGGCTGTGCTCACCGTCGCCGACAACTCGACGGCAGGTATTCCGTATCCAGTTAACCCCGACACCAGGCGCCCGTTCTGGATTTGCACCCGGCGGTGCGCCGACGTGCTGCGGTCTGTCTTCCCTGCCCTCGACACCAACGTCTTTGAGGGCTTTATGACCATGGTCAACGCCAACGCCACCGCCACACCGCAGGCTACCGTTGAGCTCCTTGTGAACCGCCCGTGGAATGGCGACGAGCGCGTCCGCTTTGACACCTTTGTCGAGCTTGCCCTGCGCCAGTTCCAAGAGTTTATGGGCTCGGCCCTCAAGTCGGCTGCTCGCAAGTTCCACGCCTTGGATCTGCACTCACAGGGATCGCTCTCACTCCTCGACTATCTCTCGCTCTGGCGCGAGCTCGACTTTGGCGTGCTCGACGAGCAAGATCTTGTCCACCTCTTCAGGGTCGCTCTCGACAAGCAGTACTCGGAGGGTGTGACGGCGGCACACCCCGAGCTTGATGCTGCGGTCTCGTGGTCTTCGTTCGAGTACATCCTCATGCACACCAAGTTCTTCACCCACCAGTATGGTCGGCCGTACCGCGCGCCGGCGTACGATCTCACTGACGCCGAGGCTGTGACGCTGTACGAGGCGCTCAAGACGGACTGGACGCAACTGCAGATGGTGGTCATCGATCAGCTCGACTCGCTCAAGAACTCGCCGCTGCCGTTTGCCTCAGCCATGCACGCGCGGCTTGTCGACTCGCGCAACTTGGTTCTCCAGGAGCTCCGCCACACCGCCAACCCGCTCGCCTCGCTCGCCGTCTACCGCGAGCTGCTGGCCCTTGTCGCTACCTCGCAGCTGGCCACCCAACACTCCAAAGGCGAGATCCCGGTCAGCTACCTTGCCGACGAGATGGCAGCTCTTCGTGGGGTCATCACAGCGCGCGCCGAGCACGGCAAGCGCCGCCTGCAGGCCTTTACCCGCGCCAAGACCTCGACCAAGCGCGCACACGTCCAGCTTGTCACCATGTGCGTCCTCCGCATCCAGCGCAAGTTCCGTGCTATTCTCTCCCGCATCCGCGCCCGCGCCGCGGAGGAGGCCCGTGCCCGCGCTGCGGCACGTCGGGAATCGTCTGCGTCGTCGTCGTCTCCGCCTGCTCTCTCGCCTGCGGCCGGCAGCAGTAGCAGGGCTATCTCGCCGGCTTCTCCGCTCACACCAAGCAACCGACGGTCGTCGGTGGCGTCGACGGGGAGCCGGAGATGAGCAGGGCCCCTTTTACGTGGCTGCTACAGATCGCGAGGTGTGAGCGAGGCGACGTAGACCCAGACAGCAAGCACGTTGTTGGGGTACGGGTGGACGAAAACAGCAAGCGCGCACTGCGAGCGCGGGTGCTTGTTGAGGTGAACACCTGTGTTGCGGACGGCCTCGACCAACGGGTCGACGTGAGTAAACGGCATGTGAACCGGAAAGCCGGTGATGTCGTAGGTGGTGAGGAGGCGCGAGAGCTCGGCGCGGTGCGCGTCGGGCGGGAGAACCTCGATGCCCTGGTAGTGGCGCTCAAAGCGCTCGAGCAGGTCGCGAAGCGCAAGGTTGCACTGCGAGTTGAAGCGGATAGAGAGGTTTTCGGCAAGACGCCACTTTTCGAGCGACTCGCGGATGGCCTTGCGGACCTGGCGGGTGACGTCGTCGACGGTGTCACGGAGCACGGGCGCGTAGTCGATGGACGGCGGCTGGACTGTGTCGAGCGAAGGTGAGAAGGCACGGGTGAAGAACGGCTTCCACTGCGAGGTGTTGTGGATGTTGTACGACATGACCCACGGCGCGTCTTCCTCCTGAATGTTTGCCCAGAGATTGTGCTCGTTGAAGACCATACCGATGGAGCGGAGCGGAATGTCCGGGTCGTGGGCCGAGTAGACCTTGCCGGCGTGAGCGTTCCAAAGATGGACCTGGCCGGCGTCGCCAATGGTGAGCACGTACGCAGTCTCGCCCTCGGGAATGCCACGGCCGAGGACGACGTAGGCGCGGAGGCCCGAATGAAGGAAGTAGTTGGCGAGGAGGAGTGCGTGCTCCTCTTCATCGCCGACGCCGTACTCGAAGAACTCGTCCATGGTGTTCCACACGTGTCGCCGGCCGGCAAAGGCCGCCGAGTCAGAGAGGAACGGAATGAGCGAGACGTAGCGTAGGATCTGCCTGGCGGTGGTGAGCTCGGCCGGCGGTGCCATCGGGCGGATGTAGCGGCAGACAAAGACTGAGGCGCGCGACTGATCGGCGACGAGGACTTCGAGGACGCGGTTGCCAAACGACGATGAGCCGCGAACCGCCTTCTCCCACTTGCGGGCATGAGCGAGAAACTCGGGTGTCTCGCGCGAGACCGACTTTTCGGCCACAGCCCGCGGCGGTTCCAGCGCCGGCCGGGTCGTGATGTACAGCTCGAGCATGGTCGGCGCGTACGGCGAGATGTGCTCGACAGCGACCGATGCCGGCGCACGCTCGCGGACGTAGCCCGGCGAGACCAGCGGGACGTTGACGTGGAACCGGCCCTGGAGGAGCGAGTTGGAGTAAATGGTGGAGAAGGGAAGGCCAAAGGTGCCGAGCCACACATTGTGGCGCGGAATGATAAACTTGAGCTCGTCTTCGTCCATAAAGTTCTCAAACGGCGCGACCTTGGAGTCAAAGATGTTGAAGTAGACCACGTCTTGCATGGTGGCAAGGACTTCGGGCTTAAAGTTGCCGTCGGGCGGCGTGATGTCGAACACAATTGTGTCGTTCCAAACCGGATTGGCGCCGAGCGACTTGTGGGTCCACTCGAGTGAGTCCTGGAACCGGATCTGGACCACAGGCTCGACCTGATTCTCGGGCTCAGGCGCGTTGCCGGGCAACGTTATGTTGCCAGTCGACGCGCCAGTGGCGGCGCCTGCACCGAGCGCAAAGGTGTGCTCCAGCGGCGAGTTGGCACCCGGCAGCTCGCCTGCAAGTGGCTCGCGGTCGGGAATCGAGTAGCCGCGAACAACCTTGATGACGAGCTCGGCGCGGTGGACAGCCACGGTCTTGGCGATTCGAGTCTCGCGCGTCGGCTTGAACCGGCGCCGCGGCTGGAACCATTCGAGAATGCCTGCAAAGGCGAGGCCAAAGGTTGGCGGCGGCCGTTCGGCGACAACCTCGGCAAAGTCGTACGCCCTGCGTGAGTCATAGCCACGGCGCGAGCCGGCGGTGGCGGTCATTTCACGGACGCGCGCCACATACTGGTCGCGTGCAATGACGACCTCAGTCGAGTCGTTGGCGGCGTCGAACCATGCCTCCCGAATGGCCGAGTCCTCCAGCGGAATCGGGCCCGAGTACGCAATAGGCCGCTGCCAGCGAAGCGCAAGAAGATCGAGCCTGCGCTGGCCGGGCGCAAAGGCCCCAGGCAGGACTAGGTTGTGGGCAGCAGCGCCGGTACGGAACTGGGCAGCGGAACTTGCGCCACCACGAAGGGCGCCAAACACATTGGCACCACGCTTGGGCGAGCCGCCGGGCCCGACGGCTCTGGCCAGCCCCGAGTCATTGCTGATGGTGCCTCCAAGGCCAGAGAGCAGATGAAGGACGGTGGCGTTGCGCGGGTCGTTGGGATCGAGGTCAAAGTCGCGGACCCAGTTCTTGAGCCGCTCAATGTTGGCCGGTGTGGCAAGGGCGGTCGAGCCGCCGGCGAGCGCTTCGAGGACAGCAGCGTTCTGCGGCTCGGACGGATCCATGTCATGCTCGCAAGCCCAAGACGAGAGCGCGTCGATCGAGTTCGGCAGCGCCAAGCGGTGAAGGCCCGGAGGGCGGCGAGGCGCGGCTGCAAGGCCGTCTGACGTCGGCGACGCGCCCCACGCCAGCCTGACGCGGACCTTGGCCACGGTGTGGCGGGAGAGGGTGTCGCCAGAACCGGCATCGGCGTCACCGATGAGCGCCTGTCGCGCGCTGCGCGGCAGGTACTTGGCAAGGAGCGAGACGGCTTGCGAGGTGGTGTGCGACGAGCTCTGGGTCTTCATGGCGCTCGGCGCAACGAGGTAGTATGCATCAAAGTCGGCGTTCTCACCCACTTGCAGCGCACCAGCCTCACCAGGCACGCTCAGCTCGGTCTCGGCAAGAAGCGACTTGAAGAGTCCCGACGAGTAGAGCTGGAGCTTGAGCTGCGGCCAGGAAAAGAGCTGCAGGCCAAAGCCCTCGTGAAACGGAATAGACCGGTCAGGCCAGACTAGCTTGGCTGACGAGGTCTCGGTCACATTGACCTCATTGGCGACGAGTCTGATGTGGCAGGCAACCTTGCGGAGGTCTGCGCGACGTGAGGCCTCGGCGGCCGAGACTTGGTCGTCTGCAGTGAGCGGCATGTCAAGGGAGAGGACTGGGACAAGGATGGGAGCGCCCGGTGCGCGCTTGGTGGCTGTCAGGTGTTCTTCGATCTGAGCGCGTGCAGCGTCGGCGTCAAAGTCGAGCGGCGGCGGCGGCGACGGCGGCTCGAGAGCTGGGCGTGGCGAGTTTTCGGCTGCGTCACCAGCGTCTGCGGCAGCCGACGGGCCAGCAGCGTCTTCGTCTTCATCTGCGTCTGCGTCCTCGTTGTTCGGATCTTGTTGAGCGGCCGAGGCGCAATGGGCTTCATACTCGGCCATGGCTGCGGCGTAGGCCTCGAGTTGAGCCTGGTGCAGAGCCTCGGCCTCATCGGCGGCTTCGGCGACACGGTCCTCAATCTCACGAGCGCGCGCCTCACGGTCTTCGGCCTCGTTGGTGGCGGTGGTGCGGAAGACGAGGCGGACAGGGGTGGCGACGAGGCCTTGGTCTGCGCGCTGGGCCTTGAGCAGAGTCCAGGTCTGAATCATGTCGTAGATGACGACGCGCTCGTCGAGCTCGACAATGTCGAGGTTGCGACGGGCCTCGCGAATGTCGTGCTTGAGCTTGCGGATGTGAGAGGCATGGTCCTCGGCATGCATGGCTTCGAGGTCGGCCTGATCAACCTGAAAGACGTACGACTGCGAGCGTGTGAGAGAGACAGGGCCCAACCGGGCGTGCTTGCCTTTCCGGCGCTCGCGCCGCGGGTGGCCAGCTCCTTGAGACCTGTGGCTGAGCGGCGCATGAACGAGGCATCCAGCGAGGTGTCGAGGGCAAGGCCCTTGTTCTCGTCGTTGTCTGAGCCGTCTGAGCCGGCATCGGCAAGGGCGGCGGCGAGAGCGTCGGTGAGGGCAGCGAGGCGGAGAGACCAGTAGACAACGAGGTCGCGCTCGCGGAGCGAAACGTACTTGGCGTACATGAGCTGCAGGGCGCGGGCGAGGAGCTCCTCCTCACGAAAGAGCGGGTGGTCGAGGAACTCGACGTCCTCGACGGCGACGTTGAGGGTGAAGAAGTTGGGTCGCGACTCGAGGACGACTCCCTGGGCCGACGGCACCGGCTTGGTTTGCACAACCTGGAAAAGAACGTCGGTGTCTGTGGGGAAGTGAGTCGGGCGCTCGACACGGTCCTTGAGCAAGTCGGCCTCCACGACGAGCTCACCGTCACGGAGCCAGCGCGTGAGCGACTTTGCGCCGGGATCCGAGGCAGCGAGCTCGTCCTCGAGGCCGAGGCGGGTCTTCATGGCCTGCCAGTTGCGCTTGCCCAGCTGCGGCTGGCGGCCGACATAGAGGCCGTCGGCCTCGGGGTCGAATACCGGAGGCCGTGCAGCCTCGAGATCAGAGCCGGACGCGGACGGGCCGCGGGCAGCGGAGGCGTTGGCAGCGACGTCGGACATGGTGCCGAGAACGTGCGGGCGGAGCCGGGCAACAACAGGGTCGTCAGAGATGGGAGCCTTAAAGGTAAAGGCAGGGCGGAGCGCATACTCGTCGTCAGCCTCAGCCTGCGGATCCTGGATGCCACCGGTAAAGCCGCCGCGCTGCAGGGCGAGCTGCCGAAGTCGCTCTCCGGAGAGCTGGCCCTCGGCGAGGGCGGCGGCGGAGGCCTGAGTCTGGAGCACCCGCTTTGCGGTCGGCGAGCGGCGGGCCGGGTCAAATCGGGTGGTCTGATCCGGGTTGCGGGCCAGCGGCACGCCTGTAGCGGGCTGTGCGGCGGCAGGAGCGGCGGCAGGCTGGCGGGCTGAGCCGGGCGGCGGGCGGCGGCGGCGGCGCGGGATGCTTGAGCCTCCTGGTGAGCCGAGGGGCGGCTGGTCTCGGGCGCGGCCGTACATAGCCTCGTGGCGCTCGACAAGCTCGCGGTCTTTGGGCTCAAGCACGGGCTCGTCGACAGCGCCTGCGGGCGTTGACGCGGTAGCCCGGCGGCGGCGGTGATCGGCAGCTAGGGTCGACGGTTGGCCGGCAGTGCCGGCGTCAGCGTCAAGCAAGCCTGAGACGTCACCGTCGGCAGGAGTGTGCGTAGCAGGAGTTCTGGGCGCTTGCGCGGCACGCGCAGAGCCTGGTGGCGGACGGCGGCGACGGCGGCCCGAGGGCGGTGGCGTCGAGCTGCCCGGGACCGAGACCAGGCCCTCGGAGACGTGGAAGGCTGAGACGCCTGCCCAGGTGGACGGACCAGGCAAGGCCGACGACGATGAGGCATTGAGTACCGCAGTCGAGAGCACCGTTGGCTCTGTAGTTCCGAACTCTTTCTCGCTGGCCAGCTTGCGGCGCCATTCCTTGGCGCGCTCAAAGGCCGTGCTAGAGGTGGAGATGGCGGGGTGCTGTGAGTGGCGTGCCAAATGGCGCCAACGCCGGACGGTTTGGCGCCAAGGGCTGTTCTGGGCACGGGTGTACGGCAGAGGGGACGGGGAGAAGGAGTGGGGAAGATGGAGAGGAGAGGGGAGGGAGGGGAAGGAATATTGTGTGTATGTGCGTATGTATGTGTGTGTGTGTGTGTGTATATGTGTGTGGTGTGGTGGTGGTGGGGAGGGGGCGTACCTCATGGCGCTGGGCGAGATCGAGAGCGGTGTCGTCAAGAGTGGGAAGGGGGCGACCGAAATCAGGCGAACGACAGCGACCGTGGTCCGCCAGGAGCTGCTGGGCTCTGATCGCCGTGTTAGAGGAAATGGAGAGATAGTGGAGAGAGAGAGAGAGAGAGAGTGTGTGTGTGTGTGTGCGTGAAGGGGAGTAGGGGGTGTACGGCAAGTTCAGTCGCGTTTGGCTCGGGAGGAAAGCGGACGGATGTGGCGGATGATGACCGCGATGAGGAAAGCGTTGAGGAGGAGGAAGAGTGCCGAGGCCCACCAGAGCTGCGGGAACATCGAGGGGTCGGCGGCAAACTCGAGATGATAGGCACGTGAGAGCCAGGTGGCCTGGCCGGCGGTAAAGGTGGTAAAGACGGCGATCCAGCCGCGCCAGGAGAGATCGGACGCAGGGGTGGCGAGCGGGAGGAGGGCATAGAACCAGACAAAGTACTGCGAGGTGATGACCTTGTTAAAGGCAACAAAGGCGAGGGTGACGACAAAGAGCGCCGAGGGAAGATGGATACGGGCCAGAGTCATGCCGAGGATGGCGCAGAGGGCCATTTGCGGGGCAAACGGCGAGGTGAGGAGGCGGATGGCGAGGCCGAGGGCTCCCGGTGCGGCAGCATCAGGAGCGGGAGCACCAGCAGTGTCAGCGAGGTACATGGGGTAAAAGTAAAGCGAAAAGTTGTGGCGTGGATCGGTCCGCCGGACGTGGTAAAGAAAGGCCTGATCGAGAAAAGTCTCGCCGTAGAGGTAGTACATGCTCGCGGTGAGGGCGCCAAACGAGGCCAGAGCAGCGAGGCCAAAGACCCAGGCGCGAGAGTTTGCCCACACCCAGCGTGTGAGCGAGGGCGGGCCGGGCGGGGCGAGGGCGATGACAAAGGCCGGGGCGTAGACAACCGGGTAGAGCTTGACGTGGACGGCGAGGCCAAGGAGGGCGCCGGCAAGCGCGTCACGGCGGGCGGCGAGTGCGGCGACGGTGGCGATGACCGGAAGAACTATGAGGGCCTCGGCCGAGCCGCGGGTAGAGATGGCAGCGACGATGGGATTGAGGATCCAAGCGGCGACTGCCGGGGCGCGGGCCGGCTCCGGGCAGCCAGCGGCGGCGAGTGTCGCGGCAAGGAGCCAAGCGACGAGCATGTCGGCGGCGACAAAGACAAGCTTGCCCCAGAGGGCAAAGCATGTGACGTTAGGAACCAGCAGCCACGCCAGCAGCGGCGTGTACCGGTATGTGGCGCGATCATACGGCGAGCCGCCTGCAGCCACTGCGGCCGCACCATCGGTAAAGACGGCATAGTCGATGTCGGTGTACTTGACCGGCGAGACGGCGTCCTGCCACTCGGCCCAAGCCAACAGAGCCACCCGCGCCGCCAGACCTACTGCCAGCAGCGTCAGTATGCTCGGAGTGTGCATATGTGAGGCGGTGTTGATAGCGTGAGAAGTGGTGCCCAACTCGTGCGGGTGCAGTCCTGGAGGTCCTCCACCGAGTCAGCTCCAAGGCGCCAGAGTCGAGGGGAGGAGGGGAGGGGGGGGGGCATTGTTGAGTGACTGGCGATTGGCGGGAGGAGGGAGCTTGCGTGGCTCACTTCAACTCGTTACCGTTGTGGCGACTTGCTGGTGGCGAACTCCATACATACACACATACGTACACTCGTCTAAAGTCCACCCACTGAGGGTAGTGGGAAGATGGTACGTGTTAGAAGGAAGGAAGTGGGGGGGGGTGTAGGGGGATCGTGGTGCAGAGGTTTGGTGGGGGTATTGGGGGAGGTGTTGTTGTGCGCAGGATTGGGCAGGGCGGTTGGGCGAGTGGCGGTTCTGGCGAGGTTCACATGGTGTTCTGGTAGGGCAAGGACAAGGACAAGGACAAGGACAAGGGGAAGGGCAAGGACAAGGGCAAGGACAAGGGCAAGGACAAGGGCAAGGACAAGGGCAAGGGCAAGGGCAAGGACAAGGGCAAGGACAAGGGGAAGGACAAGGGCAAGGACAAGGGCAAGGACAAAGGCAAGGACAAGCCCACCAAGGCGCCAGTCAATGACTGGGACGACTATAGAGACCCGTACGGCGATCCATACGGCGATTACTACTCGGATTGCGATGACTGGTTTGGCGGCGGGAGCAGGTCAGGGAGCAGAGATGGAGGCCATGGCCGCGGAACGCGGGCATCGCGGGCCGACGCGCTGTCGTCTGCTGTGCAGGGTACCGACGATCCGGAACGTGCAGAGCGGACGGCGCGGCTTGCAGAGCGGGCGCGGGCGCGGCGTGCAGAGCAGGGCCTGGGGTGGGCGCGGGAGCAGGTCCGGAAGCAAATGCTTGAGGAGCAGGACGTGCACCTGACGTTTAAGCCGCAGATCTCGGCGCAGTCCAAGGTGCTTGCGGCGTCGGACCGGCTGCGCAACCGACGCATCGACGTCCTTGCTCTCCGTGACAAAGTTTTGCCGTCCAAGACTGAAGCCTTGTCAGAGTTTGTTCTCGGCGACGGGTACCGGCTTGCGCAGACGGTGCGCGAGAAGCAGTACCTGCTGCAGAAGCGGCGCAAGGAAATTCGCTGGGAGATGGACGTCAACGGCAATGCCACCGACTACGCCTTTGTGGCCATGAAGGCTCGTCAGCGCAACATTGATGACGGCCGAGCCACGCCCTCTTTCATGCCGCAGTATCCGCACAAGTCGCGCTCGTCGACCCGCAAGATCTCTGGCCACCTCCGCCCGGGCGCGTCGGTCCAGTTTAAGGATGAGGCCGACCGCAAGCGGAGCTCGCGCGAGGTGTCGCGGTCAAGCTCGCGTCGTGACGGACGTGATGGGCGCGATGGGGTGCGCGAGGTGTCGCGGTCAAGCTCGCGGCGTGATGGACGTGATGGGCGCGGACGCGATGGGCGCGATGGGCGGAGTGCATCTCGGGAGCTTGAGCGGTCGAGCTCACGGCGCAACGAGTACGACTCGTCCCTCGAATTGCCGCGTGACTCGCATCGGTCTAGTTCACGGCTGGACAGCTCGCGGCCGGACAGCTCACGGCGCTCGGGCTCACGGAACAGCGCCAAGGGCAAGGACAAGAGCAAGAGCAAGAGCAAGAGCCGTGACCGATCCCATGACCGCTACGAGCAGCAAGAAGCAGCCGACGGCGAGCTGCGCATTTTTGACCACGACAGCCTGGAGGAGCAGGAGGAGGAAGAAGAGCAGGCGTCGGACGGGTCGGACGACTCGCGTCGCACTGCCGTGTCGCGGTCGTCTCGTGGTTCAAGAAGCAATCGGGCGCCGTCGCGCGAGTCGTCAGGCCGCGGCGGATCTGTCCGCAAGGGCGCGCCGCCATCGCGGACCCCATCGGCTCGCGAGCTGCCGGACGACGGGCGGAGCGCAAAGTACGAGGCCTACATTGCCGAGCTGGCCTTTCTGGAGCGCACAGTCTCGCTCGTTCAGATCAAGCTCCTCAACGCGTTCAATAAGTGGTACACGGAACACTACGGTGAAGCTAGCATGCTCCTGGCTGGCGGCGAGTCGACACTGTCGTCCGAGTCGTCGTTGGTCTCAGGCTTACCTGCGTGGTCGCTCATGGCGTCACCGCCGCCGACCGCAGCGTACACGCAGCTTGGCCTGCCGGCGGGTGCGCTCATTCTTGGCAGGCCCGGGTCCCACTCAGCCATGTTGCCGATGCGCATGTCCAACCCAAGACGCTCAAGCTCCAGCCGCGGCCGCCGGCCCACATTCCACTGACCGGCAAGAAGCTGCCGCGAGCTTCGCTGGCTGTCTCGGCCGCTGTGGTCGGCGCCGCAGAGTTGGTCAAGGTTGTCCATGTTGATGTTGTCGCCGCCCGCGGCCTGCGCATTCCCAAGCCGCCTGTCCGGCGGTCGACGCAGTCGATGTCCATGTCGGGGCTCCGCAGCGGCGACGCCGTCGACTCGTCGGTTGTCCTTGCGCACGGCACTTTCTCGCACGTCTGCCGGACAGTCAAGAACGCGTCTTCGCCTCTCATTGGCGAGCGCATCTCGTTCATGCTCGAGTCACCCGCTGTTGACGCCCTCCTCGACCTGCGGGTCATGAATCGCGCAAACGGCGAGGTCTCCGAGCTCGGCTCGGCGCGCATCCCACTGGATGTCGTCGCCAACGCTGGTGCCGGCACCTGGATTGACGCTTGGTACGCCACAACCTCGCACGTCTCGGTCAAGCCGGTCGGCGACGTCCATCTCCGATTTGCTCTCACCGAGCTCGGCGAGCCGGCGCCGCCGCTCCCGGCGCGCTCGCTGGCCCACTACGCCATCGACGTCACCATCGTCCGCGGTCGCAACATTCCCCCGACTAACAACCACGTCGACGCGCCGGATGCTTCGGTGACTGCCAGCCTCAGCGCTCAGCACATCCACTACTCGCCGGCCGCTGAGGATACCCGGACGCCGGTCTGGGCCTCGCGCGTCGTCTGGCCCTCGTGTGTTCGGAACCTCGTCGAGTTTGAAGTCACCGACTGGTCGGTTCGCACTCGGCCGGTTGTGGTGGGCAAGGCCACGCTTACACTGGATGAGGTCCGCCACGGCGCGCTCACCGAGATGTGGCTCCCGATCGTCCTTGGGCCCGAGGCTCAGCGAGTCGGTGAGCCGGCACCTGCGCTCCTCGTCCGCTTCACCATTGTCCCGCCCAAGGTCATGCTCAACCTGCTCGACGACAGTGACCGCCGCGACCGGGGCCTCGTTGCCGCCCTCACCGGTGCGGTCGATGCCACCAACGGCGCCATCGCCGATGCCGACGCGCTCAAGGTCCCAGCCGTACCGAGCGAGGCCTGGCACCGGCACGGCACGAAGAGCTCCGGCAAACCTGGCTCTGGCCCTCGCTCGGGCTCGGCTGCTACCCGCAAAGTTCTCACCCTGGTCATGGTCGAGGGCGAGCGGATTGGCGGGCGTGCGCTGAGGACCAAACCAGACGTCATGGTTACCTTTGAGCACGGCTCAGCCGCGTCAGTCTCATCGGAGATCGCCGACGCGTCGAAGAACCCCAAGTGGGAGGTCGACACTGCGGCGCTTGCCATGCAGCTCGACCCATCGGGACCGGAGACGGTCCGAGTCAAGGTCTACGACTTTAACTCGATTACGTCGAACAAGCTCATTGCCACTGGTGTCATTGCGCTTGACGAGGTCTCGCACGGTCCCGATCCGCAAACGCTGTGGCTCGAGCTCGATCCTGTGGCCCGCTCGAGCTCGAGTAGCAGCTCGAGTGGGAGCGGCTCGGCCAACAAGCGGCCGGGCTCGGCCGGCGCGTTGCACCTCCGAGCCTGCCTCGCGGCAGCCGGCGCGGCAGCGAGCGGAAACGAGACGTCACGGTCAAGCTCGTCGGCAAGCTCGAGCTCAAGCTCAAGATCGAGCTTGAGTAAGTCAGACGTGAGCGAGGGCCCCGTCCACAGCCTGACCGTGACGGTGCTCGAGGCGAGCAAGCTCGGGTCGGACGACGTCGACGCGGTAGTGCGAGTCTCTGTCGGCGAGGCCGAGTTCAAGACGCCGGTGGTGATGAACACCGAGAATCCGCGGTGGAACGACGCGGTGTACAATTTCTCTGCTCCGGGCACGACTTCGCAGTGGCGTGATGAGCTGGTGCTGGAGGTCTCCGACCGGCGGCGCGGGCGGAGTGATCGAGTGCTGGGTACGGCCAAGCTGGACTTGTCCAAGCTCCGGCCGCACACCTCGCGGAGCACCGAGCACACGCTCGAGCTGCGCGGTGGCAGTCTCGACGGCGGCGACGCCCGGGTTACCTTCCGGGTCGAGTACGTGGGCCCGCAGGCAAAGCGTGCGCGCAAGTCGGCGTCAGCATCGACGGTCCGGCCAAGCGAGTCCGGCGCGTCGCAGGCGTCGCGGGCGGCTGGGCGCGCAACGCCGCCGACTTCGAAACTGGCTATGGTGGTGCACTACGGCTCGGTCCAGCCGCGTATTCTGTACGGCGAGCCGTCAACAACCGTGGTCGTGGTCCACGATGCCAGCGGCCGAGTCATGCGGAGTGCAACGCGGCACAACGCGCTGCGGCCGTTCTTCCAAGAGTCGTTTGTGCTTGACGAAGTGAGCATGGCCGATACGGTGACGGTGTATGTGGTCGATGTGACACTCGGGCCCGAGGCCGACGAGACGACCGAGCAAGCCCGGTTGCTTTCGCGCCCGCTGTACGCGCGCGATCCAGCCAAGGCTGCCGAGGCGCGGCGCGAGCTGGAGCGGCACGAGCTCTCCGAGTGCACTTTTTCCGGTCATCACCGCCGCTTCGTACGACCTCGCGCTCGACGCAGCAACCAAGCGTGGCGGGTCAGTCAACGACTCGGTCTTTGGGCGGCTCGCCGGGACACAGCCAGGCAAGTTTGTGACCAAGGACGTGGCGTGGCCCAGGTACCTTGAGCTGCCCGAGTCAAAACGCGACTACCAGGCGTTTCGCAAGGCGCGGGCGCTCGAGGTGGGGAGGGTCAAGGCCGAGCGCGAAGCGACCAAGAAGCGACCGGGCGAGGACGACGATCTGCGGCCGCCGCGGCAGCACGAAGAACTCATCGTGTACAATGACGAGGGCTTTATCGTGGCCATCCACGGGCGCGGTCCGCTGCCGCTCCCAGAGCTGCCTGCGGATGAGGCGTCGATCCCAATGTCACGGCCGTCGATGCTGCTCGAGAAGCGGCTGCTGGGGAACTTTAACAAGTGGTACGCGCAAGAGTACGCGCGTTTTGAGCCGCATCGGATTGTGAAGCGGGTAACGTACCATGGGTGCTTTGACAAGTACGCCGCCGGGTACAAGCATGCTGTGACGATTCCGCCCAAGCCAGACCGGTACCGCGCTCCGCGCGGCGAAGCGCGGTACAAGACGACCAAACCCAAGGCGGGTGGCGGGCGACGGTCGGGCTTGGGTGGCGGCGGAGCGACGACCAAGCCGCGGCGCGGACTAGACGACAAGCGCGGTGGCGCACCGAGGTCTGCGGCCGCGTTTCTGCAGACCCGTGCGGCAGTGGCGACTGAGGAGGAAAAGGTCTGGCTGCTCAAGCTTTCAACGTCACGCAACGCAACGTCGCTACAGCGATCGACCTTCCGTTCACTGGCCGAGTGCACCTTTTCGCCTGCCATTTCGCGCAAGTCACTTGCACTTGCGCGGAAGCGGTCGTCCAAGAAAACTGCACTCTCGCGACGGCGCGAGTCTCAGCGGCGTGCGGCCGACGCCGGCACGGACCCGCAGTTCTCTTTCAAGCCCGCCACCAACCCCAAGTCGGCGGCGATCTACAACGAGCTTGTCATGGGCGGCTCGGACGACGACGATGACGACAACGCCGACGAAGCCCAGCTACTGGCCGGCATCGATACTACGTACATGGACGAGCGCGAGCGGCAGTCGATTCTCCGCAAGCGGCGCGAGGCCCGGCGGGTGGCGCGTGCTCGCCAGCGGCGGCTGGCCAAAATAGCACAGGCGCCCGCGCCCGACCGAATGGAGGATCTGAAGAAGGAGGTCGAGGTGGAAGTCATGGGCGAGTGCTCGTTTGCCCCCGAAGTCTCGTCTCGAACCAAGACGCTCGCCGACATCCGCGCGGAGCGCAACAAGCTCCGCCTCGCCCTCAAGGCCAAGCACAGCCGCCGCAAACAGGCCAAGCGCGACAAGTGGCTCAAAGCGAAGCGGAAGCGCGCGACTTGGGCCAAGCGAAAGCGCAAGGCCTTCCAGCTCAACTCGGCAGCCAAGTACTCGGGCGCGACATCGACCAACGTGTCGAATCTGACCAAGAAGGGCGGAGCGTCGGGCTTTAGGCTTGCGGCCGGAATGTCGTCGGCGTCGTCGTCGCCAAAGAAGGGAATGGGCAAGGGCAAGGGCAAGAGTAAGGACAAGGGCAAGGGCAAGGGCAAGGGCAAGGGCAAGGGCAAGGGCAAGCACTCGAGTTTGTCGAGCTCGGGCTCATCCTCGGACAGCTCTCGCTCGTCGCGTGAGAGCAACGGCAATGGCGAGATTCGGGCGGAGGACGTGTCGGTCTCGGAGGCTTCTGTCTCCGAGGTGAGGTCGTCTGACCTCGATGAGGCGTACGACTGGGACGACGACGAGGCGTTCCGCGATCTCGGTGACGAGTTGAGACAGGCGGACGACGCCGACAACCGTCGTGCACGCGACCATGCGCGGCGTCTAGCCGAAATGGAAAAGGCGCTGCGGCTAGGGAAGACCTCGCGGGTGTCATCAGGTCGCGGACGCGATCAGGGACGCGAGCGTGGACGCGGCGGCAGCAGCGGCAAGCCCGACGGCGCGCTCCCTGTTCGGCGTGGGTCTGGGCGCAGCGGCACAGGCGGCAAGTCGGCGCAGCGAACGTCCGAGGCCGGGTCGAAGCGGGGCGATGGCAACGACGGAAAGAAGCGGCAACTAGATCCCGAGCTGGAGCAGGCGCTGGAGCTGGCGCGACTCAACGGTGGTCGGAAGGCCAAGGCGCCGCAGCCATTGTCCAAGAGCGAGAAGCCGTCGTTCAAGCCATCGCTCAACGCACGGTCGCTGGCAATGGCGTCGACGCGGAAGCGAGGCTTCATGGAGGCCGAGTCTGTGGCGCGGGCGCGCAAGATGGACGAGCTCAAAAAGGTGGAAGAGGACATGTACTCTGAGCTCACGCTCCAGCCGGAGATCTCCAAAGCATCACACAAGATTGCCAAGGAGGCCGGACGCAAGCCGCTGACGGTCGAATATGAGCGGCGGCTCGAGTATCTTCAGCCGCCGTCGCGCGACGAGGCCTTTGCCGAGTTTGTACTCTCCGAGGGCGCAGAGCGCAAGTCGATGATCGAAGCCAAGAAGCGGCTTGTAGCAGACCGGAAGCGCGACCTGCGGCGGGCGCTGGCCGCGGTTGTGGCGGCGGGTGACGTCGACGAGGACTACGAGTATGCACTGACCCGCGCGCGCAACGAGGCGCGCGGGTCCAAGAACCATCCAGACTGGGAGGACATTCCACTGCGAAAGAGCGACCGCGGTCACGTTGTAGACATCGAGCCGGTGATCGAGCCTTTCGTCCGCGATCTCGCGCTGCTACACTCTGCCGTGGACCTTGCGTCAGCCTCGCTGGTTTCCGAGTTTGAGGTCTGGCGCAAGATGCGGTTTGGCGGACTGGAAGACCGAGCGCAGGACCTTGCGGACAACAAGGTGCGTGCACGGACCATCCGGCAGAACTACGAGCGGCAGCGCGCGAAGCGGGCCGATTACGAGCGCAAGCAAGTGGAAAAAGTGTTTAATCGGACACGGGTTCGCTCAGCCTCGCCCACCGGCGACGAAGGCGAGCTGGCGGCGGTGCAGGCGCGCGCCCTCGCGTCGCGGTACACGTCGCGACAGCCGTCTCGGCAGCCATCACAGATGGATCGGTCGACCCGGTCGCCGCCGCCTGCATCGCGGGCGGCGTCGACACGGTCACGTCAGACATCGCAGCGCCAGCGGGCTGCACGGTCGCCGTCGCCGGCCTCGACCCGGTCGGCCTCGACCCGGTCGCGCAAGATCGGTGCGGCCGGTACCTCGACCCGTTCGTCTGTCCGAGGCTCGTCGCAGATCGGTCTCGGCTCGGACAGTGAGTCTTCGAGTGGGGCTAACGGGATTCGGGTCAAGGATAAGGACAAGGGTAAGGAAAAGGACAAGGGCAAGGATACGAATAAGGATAAGAGCAAGGGTAAGGATAAGGGCAAGGGAAAGGACAAGGGAAAGGAAAAAGACAAGGACAAGTCCAAGGACAAGTCCAAGGACAAGTCCAAGGACAAGTCCAAGGACAAGGCCAAGGACAAGGCCAAGGACAAGTCCAAGGACAAGACCAAGGACAAGTCCAAGGACAAGGCCAAGGACAAGTCCAAGGACAAGGCCAAGGACAAGTCCAAGAACAAGTCCAAGAACAAGGCCAAGAACAAGTAACCATAGCGATGGCTACCACCGAGTCTGTTGGGCACTCTTGCCGTCCGTCCTGCCGTCCGTCCTGCCGTACGCTAGCTGGCCCGTAAACCGATGCCTCTAGCCAGATTCATTCTAGCATTTGCTTTCGCGCGTCAGACCGTCCACAGAAATGTCGTCAGCATGGACAGCGGCAATCAAGGCCTCAGCTGTCAGCGGTGCTGTGTTCATGCTATATTCATGGCCAACAATTATTGCTGACATCCGACCCCGTCCTCAGGCCACCACACTTCTCCATCGCTCGATCAATGGCAGCAGCCGGCAGCAGCCGACGAGCAGCCGACGGTCGACCTTGCCGCGGCAGTGGCTGCGGTTACGACCGTGGCGGGAGACTCTGTTCGTGACGAACCTCCCCGAGCTCATCGCAGCATCTGACGTGTCTGACAAGGCTGTTCTGAGCTCGCTGGCCGAGGCTGTTGTGGCCACCCTTGATGTACGTTGCACGATGGTGGGGTGTGCGTGGGGGAGGGGGCGGCTTTGGCCAAGTTTGATGGCTCCGGCTTTCTCTGTTGCGGACCATGCCTTGGCGAGAGCAGCAGGGCGAGGCTTCCCCATCCGCCGCATTGGCGAGAGGCCGACATACTCTGGCTTCCACATGTTGCTCGATATGTTGGTGTGTTGTTGGCGAGATGGGGCAGTAGGTAGCGCCCCAGACGACGGTGCGTGTGTGCAGGGCGGCCGAGGATGGGGCAGGGCTCGAATTTCGGGTGCCCTGACTAACTGGAGCGACCTTTCCTTCCGAAACCGCCGGCGACTGCGAAACTTCGAATACCTTCGCTTTGCGGGGGGGGGGGGTTGTTTGGGGCGGGGGGGCGACGCAACAGGCGTACACCGACGAGCCGTCGCAGCAGCTGGTCCGCGAGTTTGTGCGGGATCATTTGATGCCTATCGCCGCCTTTGAGAATGCGTTTGTGACGTACGTTGGCAAGTTGACCAAGGCCAACAAGGCGGCGCCGTCCGGCGTTGTCTACACCCTCTGCCGCTGGAGCTGCCTGCTGCTGGAGCGGCCGGCGCTTGTTGCAGCGCTCAAGGACGAGGCGGCGCAGGCCGACGGCGGCAAGTCGCGCTACGGCCTCCTTGTTGGCTCGATTCTCCTCCAGCTGCACCTGCTGCACGCCGCAAGCCCGTCGCTCGACTCGGGCTTGTACGCCTCGGCTTTGGTGGCGGTGCGGGCGGCGCTGGCGAGCCTCGGCGACGAGCTCGCTGCCGCTGTTCTCGGCGACCTCGTTGCCAAGGTTGCGCTGGCCGGCAAGGCCGATCCGGCCATGGGTCTTGGCGTTGTCGGCCTTGTCAGTTCACTGGCGCAGGAGCCAGAGTCGGCTCAGCTGGCTGCGCCAGCCATGACTGAACTCACCGACTACTTTCTAACACGCTAATCTCCGGGCCGGCCACCAAGAAGGCCGGCGTGGTGACCGGGGTCTCGCTCGCAGTCTTTGCGCCGATGGTCGCCGCCATGGACCGCGAGCTCTTCACTCAGTGCGTTGCCGCGACCGTCTCAGCCTTTAAGCGATCGGTCGACGCTGGCTTCGCCTTTGCCACGCTCCTGGTGTGCGAGACGACCATGGACCTCTCGGCCTTTGCCCGCAACGGCGACGGCGAGGTCTCGTTTTCGGCGACCCACGCCAAGGCGTCGCTCGGCGCCATGCTGCTCAAGGCGGCGCGCCACGAGAACGACGATGTGCGCGAGGAGGCGCTGAGCGTCTTTGGCGTCTTTGTCGCTGCCGTCTCGGACCCATCGGTTCTCCGCGACATGGTCGCTGGCCTCGGCGACGCCGTCAACGGCAAGTGCGGCTCGGTCTCGCTCTGGTACGCGCTCGGAGGTACGGCGCGGGCACTCGGCGTTGTTGCGTCGGCGCCTGCAGGCTCGAGCCTTCTGGCCGAGCTTGCGCCGACGGCTCTGGCACCACTTGCTGCCGTTCTCGCGTCCAACTCGAACGAAAAGGCTCTGGTGGCGGTGCTCCGCGGTGCAGGGCCGTGGCTCCGCGCTGCGCGGGAGGTCCCGGCCGAGTGGCCCAAACTCCTCACCAAGTTCCTCTCGGTCTCCAAGAACAAAAAGTCGCAGGCCCGCCTCGCCGCGCTCCACATGCTCCATGAGAACATGCATGCCACGCTCGCGCATGGTCTTCTTCCACTTGTCCCGGTCCTTCTAGAGGCAGTGAGCGCTGGCATGGCCAAGGGCAAGCTCGCCTTCCCCGACGCTGCAGTTGCTGGCGCTGTCCTCATGGCCATGGGCAAGGTCGATAGCAGCATTGAGGCTGAGACTGCAGCGCAGGTTGTGGACAGCATCGCCGACGGCGCTGCCTTTGACGGCTCGTTTGTGGCACACGTCGCGACGACGCCCGATGCCATTTCCACCAAGATCTCTTGGCGCGACCTTGTCGCCTTTGCCTCGCTTGTGGGCGCGCTCAACACCCGGGTGTACTACTCGCAGCTCGTGGCAACGCTCTCGCCGGAGCAAGTTGCTCTCCTGGAGCGGTGCCTGGTGGTGCTGGCGCTCTACCCGGACGAGCGAGTCCAAACCGCTGCGCGCGATGCCATGAGTGTGGTTGTGGCTGAGACGGCGACCACGCGCGCGGTTTTCCTCTCGCACTTTGCGAGCGTGCTCGTCGCACTTGACGAGGGCCACCTGGCGCCTGAGGCGCTGGCGGCGCGGGCTGCGTCGAGCTCTGACGGTGCGGCAGCCTCGTCGGCGACGGAGGCGCCCGAGTCGCTGGCAGCCAACCAGCTTTGGGCAATGCGGCAGGCGGCGACCCGGGCTCTGGAGGCGCTCTTCCTCGCCGGTGCTCCGGCTGCGAGCGAGTTGCCTGTTGATGAGGTTGTTGCCGGCTGCGTGCTTGCCTTTTCGCGGTTGGTCCGCAAGAACTCGTGGACGCCCGAGGATGATGCTTGGCATGACGGTTGCGCCGAGGCGTGGAATGCGGTTTGCGCCGTAGTTCCCGGTCTCGACGACGTGCTCTTTGGAGACGTGCATGTCGAGCCGTGGACGGCGCTGGTGCAGGCAATGACGGGCAAGGTCCGTCTGCAGATGATGCCTCGGTCTCGGAGCTGCAGCGGCAGTTTTCAGCGCTGCTCTTTGGCTCGTCGCCGTACTTTGCGGACGCTGCGTTGCACATCACGGGGTACATTGCGGCGGTGGCCGACGTGCGACCGGCTGCTGCTGCTGCGGTGCTAGAAATGGCGAGCTCGGCGCTCGCTGATGGCGCGTCGGTGCTCGGCTCCATGACTGCCAAGGATGTGTTGATTGAGGGCACGCCCGAGGGCACGCTCGCGCCGAACGTGGAACAGAAGACCGGGCTGGCGGCCGAGGTCGGCGCTTCCAAGGCTAGCAGCAAGTCGGCGACCAAGTTGAGCAAGGGAGCGGTGGTCATGAGCTCCAAGACGACCAAGCGGCGTGGCAAGGCGCCAGTGACCATGGGCAAGACCAAGGGCAAGGGCCGTGGCGCGAAGCGGGCCGGCGGCAAGGCGTCTGGCCTCAAGGTCATGCCCAAGGGCAAGGCCGGTGGCAAGGGTAAGGGCGTCGGGGCAAAGGGCCGCGCCAGTGCGGGCGCGACCGGAAAGTCGACGGCACAGTCGACGATGACCGCCGAGGAGAGGGCGCAGGCGATTGCAGCCGAGTCGGTGCGGCGCCAGCAGCTGCGGAGCGCGCTGACGAGGTCGTCGATGGCTGGCAAGATCGTGGCGAGCTCGGCGCGACTGATGAAGAACACTGCGCTGTGTGCCATGGTCGGCTCGCTTCTCGACGCCGGCCTCGCGGTGGCGACGAGTACCTGGTGTGAGGCGTCCAAGATTGGCGTCGCCGTTGTGGCGGCGCTGTCGGCGACGATCGACCCCGAGTTGGTGGCGTCGCGGCATGTGTTTGCGGCGGCAATGCTGGGCGCGGCAGGCGTGAGCCTGCCGGACGAGGCTTGGCATGGCGTGGAGGTGAGCGAGGCACGCAACACGTTGATGGACATTCTCCGGGCAACTCGGCCGACGCACAGGTATGCCGAGCCGACGTTCTTCTTTTTGTTGCCGGTCCTGGCAAGCGTTGTGAAGACGACGAGTGCGGCGCCGGAGCTGCGCGACTTTGCGCTGCGGACGGCGCTGCGCTGTGTGTCGCTCAAAGGCGCGCTGCCGCGGGACCAGGTCCTGGAGCTCTGTCTCTACGTGGTGACCGACTACCCGCGGATGGAGAGCGCGGCAGCCAAAGCTCTGGTCAAAATTGCCGAGCTTGTGGAGCCTACGGAGGCCGGCGTGCTGTTTGAGACGCTCCGCTCGCCGAACCAGCACATCCGCGGCTTGGGTCTCCGGGCCCTGCTTGGTGCGCAGTACGGCGTGGAGTTGACGGGTAACTCGCAGCGGTACAAGGCGCTGGTGTACATGGCGACCAAGGATTCGATCGAGGCCAATGCTGCGCTGGCCAGCGAGCTGTGGGCTGCGTGGGAGCTGACACCCGAGTGGGAGGTCGACGAGGTGGAGCTGCGAACGCCGACGGCGTCCGAAGCTGCCGACGACGGCGTGGTCTCGCTGTTTGCAGAGCGGGCGCTCATTCCCCTGATGAGCGACCCTTCGCGTGACATCCGTGCGCAGGTTGCGCGTGCGGTGGTGAGTTCGTCGCTCGCAGAGCGAGGCTCGGGCGTGACAGCCACGCCGGAAGCGTTCCTCGCCTGGGTCCTTGCACGGATCGAGTCTGCGCCTCCGGTGGCGGTCGACACGTCGGCTTCCGTCAAGACGGCGATGTCTGCGACCGAGCTCGCGGCGCTGCAGGCGACCCAGTCGCACATGCAGGCTGCCAATGCGCGGGTCCGCGAGGGCATGGGATTTGTGCTTGCCGAGATGGGGCGAGTGGCCTCCCTCGGCGAGAGCTCGCTCGTGACTCTCCTCGACTACTTTCTGGACTCTGGCCTGCTCGACGAGTCGGAGGAGGTCCGCGAGGCGTACCGTGACGCCGGCGTGTCGCTCATCAAGGAGTGCGGGCGCGACCATGCGGCGAACCTGCTCTCTGTCCTGCAGCGGGAGTTTGACCACGATGCGATGTCTGCTGCGGACGACCTGCGGCGCGAGATTGTTGTGACGTACCTGTCGGCGCTGGTCAAGCACTTGCCCAAGGGTAATCCGCTGTTTGAGGGCGTGTTTGACTCGCTTATGGCTGCGGTGATGACGCCGTCACATGCGGTGCAGAGTGCGGTGGCCAAGTGCCTCGCCAAGCCGGCCAAGGAGGTCAAGTCGAAGGCTCAGAACAACTTGGAGGTCATGCTTGGCCTGCTGAGCTCGAAGGAGACCCCATACGCGGAGCGGCGCGGCGCGGCTCACGCGCTGGCGGGTCTTGTCAAGGGTCTGGGCCTTGGTTCGATCAAGCAGTTTGGCGTGATGGAGAAGCTGGCCGAGAGCGTCAAGAGTAGCAGCGGAGACGTCCGGCTGGGTGTGTACTTTGCGTACGAGTGCTGCGCCAAGGTGTGGGGCCCGCTCTTTGAGCCGTACGTTAAGCACGCCCTCTCGCCCCTTCTGGAGGGTCATGCCGAGACGGACAAGGAGGTGCGGCAGATGGCGTCTGCGGCGGCGGCGTCGATTGTGTCGCGGCTCTCAGCGCACGGTGTGAAGAAGATCCTGCCGACGGTGCTAGAGGCGATGGACGTGCACCAGTGGCGCGCGCGCCAGGGCGCGATCCGGCTGATGGGCTCGCTGGCGATGTGTGCGCCCAAGCAGCTTGCGGTGTGCCTGCCCGAGGTGGTGCCGCGGCTGGCGATGGCGGTGAAGGACTCGCACCCCAAGGTCAAGCACTCGGGGACCAAGGCGCTGGAGAAGATTGCCGCTGTGGTGCGCAACCCCGAGGTGAGCAGCGTGGTCCCGACGCTTCTTGCGGCATACTCGGAGCCGACAAAGTGCACCGAGGCGGCGCTCGACGCGCTGATGACCACCTCGTTTGTGCATCGCATCGACGCACCCTCGCTGGCGCTTATCATCCCGGTTGTGCTCCGTGGCCTGCGGACGACCAAGACCAATGCGCGGACAAAGTCTGCGCGCATCATGGGCTCGCTCTGCACGCTTGCGTCGCCTTCAGACCTGCTCCCGTACATGGAGCACGTGATGGAGGAGCTTCGTGACACGGTGAGCGACTCATCGCCGGCGGTGCGATCGGTGGTGGCGCACGCCATCGGCTCGCTGGTTGCCGGGGTGGGCGAGGAGAACTTCACCGACACGGTGGCCTGGCTCTGGACCGAGACCGGCGACGGGTCGTCGATGGTGGCACGGCTGGGTGCGGCTCAGGCTCTTGCCGAGGTCATTGGCTCGCTGGGCGCAGACGCGTTTGCCGATGCCATTGACGAGCTCTCGGAGAAAACGAGCTCGCCGAACGCTGCCACCCGAGAGGGCTTCCTCAACGTCTTTGTCTTTATCCCGCCTGTGCTGGGTGACGCCTTTGCTGACTATATTTCCGTCGTCCTTCCTGTGGTTCTGCAGGGTCTTGCTGACGAGGCCGAGGCTGTGCGTGACCGGGCGCTCAAGGCCGGTAAGGTCATTGTTGCCGGCTTTGCGGCGGACGCGCTCGAGCTCCTCTTGCCTTCGCTCATGGAAGGCCTCTTTGACGATGACTGGCGGATCCGCGAGTCGTCTGTCGAGCTCCTTGGTGACCTTCTGTTCCGGCTCTCGGGCATTTCGGGCAACTTGCAGGTGGACACAGTCGGGTCTGGCGACGAAGGCATGACGAATGCCGAAACGGAGGTGGACCTCACGCTCCGGCTGGGCCTGGAGCGGCGCAACAAGGTCTTTGCGGCGCTGTACATGATGCGGCTGGACCTCTCGCCGCTGGTGCGGCAGGCCTCTCTGCGGGTGTGGAAGCAGCTGGTGGTCAACACCGGACGGATGCTGATCGATGTGGCGCCTGCCATGATGGCTCTAATCATCGACTCGTTGTCGTCGGCGAACCCGGATCAGCGCCAGATTGCATCGCGGTCGCTCGGCGATGTGGTGGCCAAGCTTGGGGCACGGGTCATGGGTGTTGTCATCCCGATTCTGCGGTCCGAGCTGGACTCTCCCGATTCGGACACGCGGCAGGGTGTGTGCCTGGGCCTCTCCGAGGTCATGGCGTCTGCGCCGTCGGGTACGCTCTCGTCGTACGTGGGATCGATTGTGCCTGCTGTCAAGGCGGCCCTGTGCGACCCGTCCGAGGACGTGCGCGAGGCTGCGGCGCAGGCGTACGACGTGCTCTACTCTGTGGTCGGCCAGGAGGCGCTGGCCAAGGTTATTCCGCCGATGCTGGCCCAGGTCAACAAGGCGTCGGACGAGAAGAGTGAGTATGCGCTGGACGGGCTGCGGCAGATTCTTTCTGTCCGCTCGCACGTGGTGCTCCCATACTTGCTGCCGAAGCTTGTCGAGCCGCCGCTTACTGCAGTCGACTGTCAGGCGCTGGCGACACTCTCCGAAGTGGCCGGCTCTGCGCTCAACGCGCACCTCTCCAAGCTGCTCTCGCCGCTGATGGACGCCATGGCGTCGGACGACGACGACGTGGCGAGCGCGGCGAAGCAGGCTGCCGAGGGTGTGGTCCTCGCGGTCTCGGCCGAGGGTGTCTCGACCGTTCTCGGTGAGCTGCTGGACACTCTGGCCGACGCCGAGGCCAAGGGTGCGGTGCGCGAGAATGCGGCCAAGCTGCTTGCGGCGTTCTGCGAGGCAAACACGTACGACATCTCGTCGGAGCTGTATAGCCTGTTCCGGCATCTCCTCGCGCTCTTTGTGCATGAGTCCGACTCGGTGGTGGCGGCCGCCTGGAGGGCTCTGCTGGCAGTGACCAAGTCTGTGGACAAGGACGAGCTCCTGCCGTACATTTCGCACGTGCGCATGCTGCTCAAGCGGCTTCGGGTCTCGGCTGGCCTGCGGCTCTCCCCGCTCGACGGCTCGCTGACGCTCGAGGATCTCGCCAGTGTGGAGATTCCCGGCTTTGGCCTGCGCAAGGGTATTGACCCGCTGGTGCCGATGCTCCAGCAAGGCCTGATGTGCGGCTCACCGGAGCTCCGCGAGGCTTCGGCTCTGGGCATTGGCGAGGTGGTGGCGATGACGCCGCCGTCGGCGCTCAAGGCGTACGTGGTCAAGCTCACTGGACCGCTCATCCGAGTCATCGGCGACCGGTTCCCGGCACAGGTCAAGGCTGCCATCCTGTCGACACTGCGCATGCTGCTGCTGAAGGGCGGGAAGAGCATCAAGCCGTTCCTGCCGCAGCTGCAGACGACGCTGATCAAAGCGCTTAACGACCCGGCTCGCGATGTGCGGGTCAAGGCCGCGACCGCGCTCGGCATCCTCATTCCGCTACAGTCGCGGGTTGATCCCCTGCTCACCGAGCTGAGCAACGGCGTGGGCAAGTCGGAAGACGACGTCAAGGAGACCATGCTCAAGGCTCTCGCCGCCGTCCTCCGCGTGGCAGGCGCCAAGATGAAGGCCAAGACCCAGGCGCTGCTCAAGCCGACCCTGGTTGCTGAGCTCGGCTCGACCGAGACCGGCGTGCGGACAGAGGCTGCGCTCGCGCTCTCGCTCTTTGCCTCGTTCCTTCCGGCTGACGAGGCCGCGGCGCTGGTTGACGACGTTGCGCTGGCCGAGCCGTCGTCCGACTGGCTTACTCGCTGCGGCGCGGTCACTTTCCTCGGCGGCGTGGTCGCCAACGCGCCGGAGCTCCTCGCCGGTCGTGAGAGCGCGGTAATGGCGGCGCTTTCGGCGGCGGCGGCCGACGACCGCGCGCCTATTCGCATGGCGGCGGCCGAGGCGCTCGGCGCCGGCCTCTACTCGCCGTCGGGCGTCCTCGACGCCACTGTCGACGCCGCCCTCTCTAACCTGGTCGCGCTTCTTGACGACGAGTCGCCCGACGTCGTCGCCTCCGCCCTCACCCAACTCAAGGCCATTGCCCGGTCCGACGCCGCCGACGTCCTTGCCGGCTCGCTCCCGAGCCTCGCAGCTACAATGGCCGAACTCGCCCGCGGCAAGTCGATCGCCGTCAAGCTCGCCGCTGAGCGCGCCCTCCTCTACCTGCTCAACCTCCACCGCGAGGCGCCCGAGAGCTCAGCACAGTTTGCAGCGGCGACAGCCGGCCAGAGCGGCAAGACTGTGTCGCAGTACGTCACTCGCGTGCTGGCCAAGAAGGTCGGCGACAACTACGTCGATTCGGACGGTGACGATGACGGCGAGGATGATGGTGCTGGCACAAGTGCGTAAATGATGCATGCTCGTCTTGCGGCAAGACGTCGAGGCCGAGGCCGAGACCGAAGCGGAAGCGGCGCACACCTGACTTCCGCCCGACGGACAGAGGACAGAGAACAGAGACGATGGCGGCGAATCGGCCCAATATTATGCTGCGCCCGAAGCGGAGCACCATGTCGCGCCACCATGAAGAGTCGGCGCCACGGCAGACGCAGGGTACGTGCTGTTGCATGGGCCGGGTATGGCTTGCTGGCAGCGGACAGTTGTAATTTTGGCGCGGGGAGGGGTGGGAGGGGGGGGGGTGGGGGGTGGAAGGATGTCGGTGTGAGGGCCTGCACCGAGTGGGGGAGGGGGACGGAGGCGTCGGCGGCGATCGGCGGCGGCAGGTGGCAGTAGCCGGCGGCCGGTGGTCGGCGGCCGGCTGGCGGAGGGCAGGAGACTGACGCAGGAAGGGAGCAAATGCGGATGATGGGGCGCGTGCTGGTGCAGCTGAAGACAGCAAGTGGCGGCGGAGGCGCGAAGCGTTTGCTGAGTTTGAGCGGCGGCGGATTGCGGCGCTGTATGGCGACCGCGACGAGCGGATCCGGATCCGCCACGAGATGGAAGACGCGCAGAAGGAGGCCATCCAGTGGAAGGTCGAGGCGCGCGAGCGTGAGGAGGCTGAGCTTAACGCTTACCTCTCCAAGCGTGAGAACCAGGACTCTATTGTAGAGACTATGGAGCAGAAGCAGGCGAATGCCCGCCGCGAGTACGAGCGCGCCCTGATGGAGGAGAACAAGCGGCTTGCAGCTTATCGCCAGCAGCTGCGCATGGAGGAAGAGGAGCGCGAACGCGAGCTCGGCTATGCCTCGCTTCCCATTCATCGCCATTCACTGTTCTAGCGCACGGTCAATCGCTGCCGCCCGCTCCCCGTCCTCCCGCCCCGGCCCCAGCTCCTCTGCGGCCGCCACGGCGCCGTCGTGGTACCGGCTCGTCGCCTGCCAGACATGTACCAAAGGCGGAAGATACAAAGAAGGACATAAGAAGGACAAAGCCGAGATGGCTGGCAACGTTGTGTGAGTTGCGGCGTGGGTGCAGCGCCCAAATCCCATGGCTGCTCACCACCGGCAACCGTCACACTTCTGGTTACTCCAAGCCAGGCTCGGCTCTCCGCACCTTCCCAGATCATATCAGTGGCGGCTGCAGTAGTAAAGCACGGAAGCGCCCTCTGCGCTTGATTATGCCAAGAATAGCGGGTATGCGAGTGTGTGTGTGTGTAGGGGGGGGGAAGGCGTGAATTCCAGCTGCTTATGTATGTAGGCACACAACCACCGCAGCCAGCACCGTAATCGACAGTTGTCATTTCTGTCAAAGCCCCCCGCCCCGACCCCCCCTCGGCCCTCGGCGCTGCAGCCGCCGGCACACCTCCCGCCGCGCTGGCCCCAGTCCCCCCGCCACCGCTTTTAGGGCACCACCACCGCCACCCCACTCCCCTTCCACCTCGACTGCCATCCCTCACGCCCTCCCTGCCCCGCCAACTCTCCCATGAGCGCCCCACGGCGGCGGTTGCCCGTGACACGTCGGCAGCGGCGAGGAGCGCCAGCAGCGGCAGCAGCAGCGGCAGCAGCAGCAGCAGCAGCGGCAGCGGCAGCGGCAGCGGCAGCAGCAGCGGCAGCGTCAAGCCGAGCCCCGGTGCGGACGAGGATGTGGCGGCAGACACCTCATGGCTCTCAGAAGGCGACGACGACGACGTGGTGCACAACCTTATTTCGGACCTGGCTCGACTGCCGGCTTCGTTCCGGGCCTCGGCCCGCAACAGGCTGGCCTCGTCCTCGCCTGTCCTGGCCGACGAGGTCTCGGCGGCGCACTCGGCCATGATCCGCCTCGCCGCAGAGCCGACGGATCCGGCCGCAACGGCACCTGTGGCAGGTGCTGCGCCAGATAGCAGCGTAGTCGCTCCGCCTGCCGAGCTGTCGCGGACGGACCGCTGGAAGTCCCGCCTGCAGAGCATGGGCATCACCGGCAGTGCACCGGCGTCGCCGGTCTCAACGTCGCCGGCTGGTGGAGAGGGCGGCACTTCGCGCCGTGCGCCGTCGCGGTCGGCTGCCAACGGCGAGAGTGGCCGTGGTTATGGCCGCGGCCGCGAAAAGCGGGCGCCATCGGCGCCGACGCGGACGATCGAGAAGCGGCGCAAGGCACACGGAAGGAACACGACGCCGTCGCGGTCTCTTGGCCTGCGGACGCGGCAAGAGATCGAAGCCTCGCTGATGCGTGGGATGAAGAATGTTCCCCCGATGCCAAGTACCAAGGTGACAACGCCGTCGCCAACCCGGTCGACGCTGCAGCTGCCGCCGCGGTCGCCGTCGCGCGCCACGTCAACCGACGACTATGAGGACGAGCATGATGTGGTACCAGAGCTGCCGTCGCCGCTTGCCCTCTCGGCGCCGTTTGGGAACCGTTCTCAAGATGCACGGCGGCAGCGGTCGCTCGGCCCGCGGTCGTCGTCGCGAGAGTCGTCGTCGCCGCTGGGCCATCGCTCGCTCTCACGTGGAAAGCACGGGCGCGAGCAATTTTCCCGGCCGCGTGCCTCCTCGCTCACCATTTCGTCCCGGCCTCCAGTTGTTTCAGATGCCGGCGACGACGACCTCAACGACTCATCGCACTGCTCGGGCCAGGACGGGGCAACTGAGGAAGACAACTCGTCGCTGAACAAGGCGAACTCGGACTCGTTTGTGGCCGCTACATCGTCGGCCAATCTCGCCGAGGCGCTAGGCATCACCGAGCCGGACCGGCCAGGCTCGGTGGGTCGTTCTCCGCGCCAGTCACCACGTCACGGAACGCGAAACACACCACGGGTCCTTGTTTCCCACCCTTTGCCCCAGTCGTCGGCTTCAATCTCACCATCATCGCCGTCGTCGCCATCACTGCCGCACTCGTCCCTGCTGGCTGCCAACGAGCCCGACTCGGTCTCACTCACGGTCTCGCCTCATGGCTCCAACCACCGCAGGCGGCACAAGGCTGACACCGACTCGCTCTCGGCTTCAATGCCCATCATTGCTGGTCTTGAGAACGGACGCAGGGCCAAGGGCAAAGCCAAGGGCAAAGGCAAGGGCAAGGGCAAGGACAAGGACAAGGCCAAGGCCAAGGCCAAGGCCAAAGCCAGGGCCAAAGCCAAGGCCAAAGCCAAAGCCAAGGCCAAGGGCAAGACCAAAGCCAAGCGCGGCTATGGGCGCAATCGCAGCCGCACGCGGTCGTCGAGAACATCATCGTCATCGGTCCTGCCGCTCACCATGTCGTCATGCTCGTCGTACTCGTTCTCATCGCGCCCGCGGCGGTCCACCAGGCTGCGGGAGAGCGAGGCGAAGCGTGAGCGCATGATGTCACGCGAAGGCGTATCGAGCCGAATTGAGCACCGGCGCTCGGTGTGCGATGTTGCAAGCATGTCTGACACGTTTTCCGGCTCGCCGTCGGTCTCGTGCTCGCGCTCGGTAACCATGCACCACTCGTTCGACTCGACAACGTCGTCGCAGCGGACGCGCCAACTCAAGAAGGCCCGGTCAGGCGAGTCGCTCTTGGCGTCATCGGCGTCGGGCGGAACGCGCTCGAGCCTGCTGGCCAGCTCGTCGTCACCCAACCTGTCGTCATCTCGGGCTTCATCGTCGTCAACTCCGGTTGTCCAGCCGAAAAAGTCTGCACTGCGTTCGGCTGCCGCGGCGCGGCCGCTGTCGCGACTGTACAGGCTTGCGGCGCGGGCCGCAGCAGCCGGTGCCGCACTTGGCGGCGTGACCGATGATGTCGGTGCGTTGGCCGATGCCGGTGCCACGCTGCGCAACTCGGTGCTGTCAGTCGTGAGCATGACTGTGGAAGCATCCAAGGGAGGCGACGTGAGCGAGCAGCGGGTGGCCGAGCTCTCCAAGTGTGCGCGTGTGATCATGGCTTCGTCGAACGCACTGCTGCTGGTGGCGCGGTCGATGGTATCGGAGCGGGCCAAGTGTCGCGATGCCAAGGTCGTGGCCCATGGCAACACTGTGGCTCGAACGCTGCGGACCGGGCTCATCGCCTCGCTCGACTTGAGCGAGCGCAAGGCGTTCAGCCGCGGCCCAGGCAAGGCACTCGGAATCGTGTTCTCCATCCCACCGCCCAAGCCGCAGTCTCCAAGTCAGAGTAGTCTCGGCACTGTTTGCCCGCCACAGTCGGGCGACCCGGAGCTCTCAACCATCGCGACACATCCGCCGCCGTCGCCGATCGTTGTTGGCGCACAGGAGCTGGCCGCGCTGGAGCGGCTTCAGCGGCGGTGTGCCACGTTGGAGCGCGAGTTGCACCAGGCTACCGAACGCGAGCGTGAACTGGAGTTCCAACTAGCGACGAGCAGCCCGCCGCGGGAGGTGCCACCCCGGCAGCTGCGCAGTCCGGCACGTGTCACGCCCCATGGTGGGCGGGCAAGGGCCGGTGGACCGCCGGGAGCCTGGGCGTCGCCTGCGCTGGCACGGATGGCGTCGTCAGGCACACAGCTCGACACCTCGATTGACGTCCTCATTTCTGAAATCGAAGTCGTCGACCGCAAACTCGCCTTTGTCCGCTCCACACCGCCTGCTCCGCTCCAAGACCCGCGGGCAGAGTCTGCGGCTCGGGCCCATCGCAGCGCAAGTCAATCCCCATTCGTGGCCAACTTCTCTTCATCTTGCTCTTCATCGTCGCTCTCGCCGCCGTACTAGCCTCGTCTCTATCTTCATCTTCATGCATAAACCGCCGACTTGCGTTCGAAGAGCCGGGGGCCGAGCCGGGTCGAGCGGCTCGGCTCGGCGGTCCGCACCAGCACCAGCACAGCAACCACGGCAACACCCGTCTTGGAAGACATGGCTTCGTCGCTTGTCCTGGGCTCTGTGCCTCAAGAAGGTATGGCTTTGGAGAGTCTGGGGGGGGTGGGCGTGGGCGTGGGCGTGGAGGGAGGGGGGGGAGGGGGGGTGGGTGGTGGGGCGGTGATTGCCGGGCGACTGACTGACTGACGCACGGACCGGGCTGGGTTGCTTCTGGGGACACATGGATGTGGTGGTGGTGGTATGTGTGTGTGTGGGGGGGGGGGGGGGGGGGACGGGGCACTGGGCGCTGGGGCTGGACAGAGATGAACGAGCTGCAGAGCAGCTTCTTTGAGCGGCTCCAGCGGGAGCCGGACGTGCCGGTGGCGGTGCTGGCCATCGAGGCGCTGACGTCTGCGATTGCTGCGTCGTCTGCAACGACGATTATGGGGCTTAACGACGAGATCAAAGAGGCGTCGCGGGAGCTTGTTGCGGTGGGCGGAGGGTCGATTGCGCTATCGTCGGCGTGTGCGTTGTTTGCGCGGTTCGCGACGCGGACGTCACTCGACTTGCCGGACATTTCCGAGTGCAAGGCCAAGATTGTGGGGCGCGGGACGGCGTTTGCGGAGCGTGCGTCGCAGGCGCGGACGCGGATTGCAGAGCTTGGGACCGAGTTTATCCGCGACGGAGCGGTCATTCTCACCCACTCGTACTCGCGAGTGGTGGCGGCGGTGCTGCTCGCCGCAGCGCGGCAGGCCAAGCTGTTCTCAGTCATTGTCACCGAGTCGCGGCCGGACACATCGGGCCACTTGTTGGCGGCTAAGCTGCGCGCTGAGGGCATTCCGGTTACGCTCATTCTCGACGCCGCTGTGGGCAAGGTTATGGAGCAGGTCGACATGGTGATCACCGGTGCGGAAGGCGTGGTCGAGTCTGGTGGCATCATCAACAAGATTGGCTCGTACCCCATGGCTATTGTGGCCAACTGCTTTAACAAGCCGTTCTACGTCGCCACCGAGTCGTTTAAGTTTGCTCGCCTCTATCCGCTCGATCAGGACGACTACCCGTGCGCCCAGTTCAGCCTAGAGGAATCGTCGGTCGAAGACCCGTCTGCGCCTGGCACGCTCCTCACCCGCTCACGCATCGTGCCCGACGGCGACGAGCCCGAAGTCACTCCGCTTTCGGTCTCGTCAGTCGATTACACCCCGCCCAAGTTTATCACCCTCCTCATCACCGACCTCGGCAACCTAACCCCGTCGGCCGTCTCGGACGAGCTTATCAAGCTCTATTATTGAAGTGCTGCGATGACTATACATCTCTCTCTCTATCCCCCCCTCCTCCTGTCCTCCCGCGGTCATCCTTCCGGTGACCGTTTCCGCCACCGTCGCACCAGCGCTCAGCCGTGTCCCAGGCCCAGCCGTAGCCACTTCGCTCTCACTCGGCACAGACACCACCATGTCTGCCCGGCTGACCCTCCCACCCACGTCCCCTGCCCCTGCCGCCGCCGCCGCAAGTACGCACTCCATAGCCCACACTCCATGCCCCGCACCCCATGCCCTGTGTCCCCTCCCCCTCCCCCCTTCCCCCTCCCCCTCCCCCCCTCACCCCCTGTTCGGTCAGCCGTTGGCTGCCCCACAATTTGCCCTTGGCTGCCCCTTGGCCTCTGCCGCAGACATATTGCCCCACCGCAATCGGACACAGCACCACACCAATGCCATGCATACTCGTACATGCTTACCACTCACTCATCACCGTGTACGCTGGTGGCACAGGCTCGAGCATGTCTCCCCTCGCCTCCACTGCCGGTGCAGCTGGAACCAGGACGCCCGGGACCCGCAAGCCGCTGACGCTCTCGTCGTCGCTGAAGAAGCCCAAGGAGACGCGCGACCCGGGTCCGCCCAAGGCTGGAGCGTTCAAGAAGCGCAAGCCCAAGCCGACCAAGTTTCGCCGATTCTATGAGCGTGGCGACCTGCCGATCGCTGTGGAGCACCGGGCGTTGGGCAACCGCATCCGCTGGATGGTGGAGATCGAGAAGCTCGACTACCACCACTACCTGCCGACCTTCTTTGCCGGCCTCTCCGAGACGCAGGAGCCGTACCGCTTCCTCGCCTACCAGGGTGCCATCGACCTGCTGGAAAACGGAGGCTCCAAGATCGTGCCGGTCGTCCCGCAGCTCGTCCTGCCCATCAAGGCCGCCCTCAACACCCGCGACGAAGAGATCGTCTGCCGCACCCTCATCATGATCCAGCGGCTCGTCCTCTCCGCGCCCGACGTCGGCGTCGCCCTCACCCCGTACTTCCGCCAAATACTCCCCATCATGGGCTTGTACAAGAACAAGAACCTCAACCTTGGCGACGGCATCGACTACGGCCAGCGCTTCCGCCGCAACGTCGGCGACCTGGTGGAGGAGACTCTCCAGCTTCTTGAGCTCAACGGTGGCGAGGCTGCGTACATCAACATCAACTACATCATCCCGACGTACTCGTCGTGCGTCATGAACTGATCCGTCCCCCCCCCCCCCTCCTCCCTCTATACGACCAACCAACCAACTAAACAGTCCTCCAACGAAGTCTCTCATCTATCCAAGTCCTTCAAAACGATTACCATGGGCTGCACCGTACATGCTGGCAAGCACCCCACATCCGTGCTGTCCACTCTCCGCCGGCAAGCAAACAGCCGGCCAGGCCCACCCACCAGTCAACCGACCCACCAAAGCAACCGACACGAACCGTTCAAACCGTTCAAACTTTCGTCAAGGTGCCGCCCGAACACACACACGCACCGACACACCCCACCCCTGGAAGGGCATCCAACAACGCCACACCCCACCCCGCCACCCCGCACTCGCACTACTCCACCTGCAATCTCTTTACACCCGCCTCTCTCCCACCGCTGCGCATCATCCTTCTCCTTCTTCTCCTCCTTCTCCTCCCTCGGACATGACCACGGCTTCCGGTACGCCCCCCCCCCCCCCCCCGGTCCTGACTTCCACCGCCTCCCTCCTTCCCTCCTCACACACTCACTGCCCAACACCCATCCGACACACACAGAGGTCCTACCACTTGTGCAGCATGCTGTCAAGACGGCGATGGCGCCTCCGCTGGTGCTCTCACGCAGTGCAGCGACTGTGGCCCAGTGTGTGGCCGCCGTCCTGAGCCATGGCGTCCGCGCCAACACGAGCCCGTGGGCCGTGGTGACGGCGGCGGCGACGGCCGGTCCTGCAGGCGATGCCAGCTTTCCCCGCGCAATGCGGCTGGCCACGGCACAATCCACCTCGGACGACGACGCGCTCTGCATCTGGATTGGTCTCGGCTTGGAGTATGCCATGATTCCGGCATGGATCCAACACGTGGCCGGCTCCATCCCACCGGCTCTGCACGAGCCATGGGGCATCCTGCGGACGCCCACACTCGTCTCATACGTAGTCCGGGCTCTAGGTCCACTGTCTTCGGTCTCGTGGCCGCCGTCGCCTGCGGCAATCCCACCGACTGACAAAGTCGAACAGCCGCACCTGGCTCCGCCGGTGACCACTCAATCGATTGCTACCCAGACTGAGGCTATTTCTCCACTCTGCCTCTCGTACGAAGAGCTGCAGACTGTCCACTCGGACACACTGACGTGTCTGGAGGCTGCGCGCCGCGAGAACGACCGGCTTCGCGAGCGACTGGTCGACGTCCTCACTGAGCGCGCAACCGAGGTGGCTGACTCGATTCGAAGCCAGGCCGAGGCCGAGGCGCGCATTCGCGCCCTCGAGAATCAGATCCGCACCATGCGAGGCGGCGCGAGCACCGAGTCCTCACCTGACGTGACTGCTCTGCCAGCAGTGCCTGCACCTGCATCTGTTCCCCCTGCGGTTCTTCCGCCGCCCCCGCCGCCGCTTGGCACGGCGATGGCTGGCCTGCCACCGCCACCGCCTCCCGCCACCGCTACCCTGACCGCCGCGAGTGCGGGGCCACACCCTGCTGCAGCGGCAATTGTATCTGTCACTAGCGCACCGCCGCCGCCGCCGCCACCACCCCCACCACCACCGCCACCGTCATCGCCTCCCGCGAATCGACCGTCTCGGGTGGTCCGGGTGGTGAGCCCTGCGTCAACACCCGGCGAGTCCCATGGTGGCTCGCACGCCGCGCTCCTCGCATCGATTGCAAACGGAGTCAAGCTCCGCCAGACACCGGGTCCACGGGCGCGTGGCGCTCAGTCGGCGCCGCGGCCGGGCCTGCTCAACTCCCTGGCGGCGTCCATCCGCAAGCTCGATCTCGGCGACGAGAACGCTACGCCGCAGAGAGGCACCAACGGATCGTTTATGTCCGAAACAAGCTCGGGCTGGGATGACTCACCGCTCCAGGAGCGGACACCGTATGGGCAGACGCCAACAAAGTGCCGCATAACGGCCAAGAGCTCGCCGGCGCCGTCACACTTTCTCACCATCTCGTCGGCCATGCGCACCATGCGGCGAGCGATGGCCTCTGTCTCACCATCGCCGTAGCAAGAGCAAGCAAACACTGCCCACGCCTTCACCACGAGTGCATGAGCTGGACAAACTCGCGGCAGTTGAGGACGCCGTCGTTGTCAACGTCGGCCTCGGCGATCATGGCCCTGGCCTCGTCCTCGGTCAGCGGCTCGCCCATGGAGGTCAGAATGTGGACAAACTCAGCGACCGAAACAGTGCCCGAGCCGTCAAGATCAAAGATGCGAAAAGCCTCCTCGAGCGACGGCTGGTCGTGCTCGTGGACCAGATCCTTGACAAACATGGCCACAAAGTCATCAAAGGTCACTGTGCCCGAGCCGTCGGCGTCCGACTCGGCCAGCCACTCGTCAATGGCGGCCTGCGACGGATTGAGGCCGAGACGGCGGAGAAAGACCATCGCCTCGGCCGGATCGATGGTCCCGTTGCCATCCGCATCCGCCTCGTCAAACAGCGCCCTGCACTCGCCCAGCTGCTCGGCCGTCAGCACATCGGCGAGCCGAGCCTTGCCCGTTCTTCCGTCCGGCCCTGCCCGAGCCACTGATGATCCCAACTCGTGCTTGTCCGACATGGCAGGTACGGGCAATGACAAGCGGAGTGGGACGGGTGTTAGGGGGGCCGTCTGTCGTCTGTCGCCTGTGTCGCCCCTGCCACCACCTGCCCCTGCCCCTGCCACCACCTGCCGCCAATTGACTCGCTGCCAAGCGTTCCTTCACACCCACGTCACACCCCTCCCCTCCCCCCCCCGCTCCCAATGCACCACCCCCACCGGGTGCAGACCGCACCCTCGCCGCTGGCTCACGACCCGCGGTTTCGCCTCCTCACGCCATACCAGAAGGAGCTGTTGTGCCCATCCACCTTTACCACCGTCGGTCCGTCGTCTGTCGCCTTTGCCCGCCGGGCAAGTGCCCACGCCAGCTCGCCGGCTCGCCGCTCAGCGCATCCCTCGTCGCGCCCATCGCGGTATGTCGCTAGGCCGCGGACGCTTCCGCCGCTTGATCCACCAGTCCCGGCTCTGCCTCCGGCTGCAGACCTGCCTGATGCCGCCGGCCGCACCCAGCAACACGGACAGGCCACCATTCACAACCACTACTACGGCGTCTTTGCCGGCCACGACAGCGGTCGGGTCGAGTCTGCGCCGTCGACCACACTGCAGGCTACACCATCGGCTGCGCCGTCGGCTCCTGCTCCGATGATTGCGCCATCAGCGCCTGCTCCGCACCCCGCGTACTTCCCGGCGCCCTATCCGACTTATCATCCGCCACCCTACTCGCAGTACCACGGGTGCGGACGCGGATGTGGTCACGGATGCTCCCACCATGCTGGCTGTGGTCCAGCACCGGCGCCTCAGGCCTCGCCATCGGTTGCCCAGCCTGCGTCGCAGCCAACGGTCTACTTTGTCCCCTACCCTGTCTACGCCGGGACGACGGCAGCAGCAGCGGCGCCGGTGGCTGCCGCCGATCCTGCCCCGCCTACAGGCGCGTCGCCGCGGAGCCAACGCTCGTCGCGCGAGCTGTACGAAAAGTTCATGGCCGACCGCTCGCATCTGCTGACCGCGTCACCGGGCAATCCGGGCTCGCCGCAAAGAGCAATCCCGCGAGTCCAGCCCAAGTTTACATCAGTCAAGCGAAGCCCACGCAAGGCTCGATCGCGTGTCTCGACTGCGTCGTCGTCAAAGGTAGCTTCGCCGCCACGCAAGCCAAAACCGCCTCGGGCGCCGCCGCCGGCGGCGGCAAGCCCGTCGATGGGCTCAATTCTGGAGCTCAACAAGTCAGTGGAAGAGTTCCAGCCGTCGCGGTCGCTGCAGTGGGAGACTGAGGAACTCCGCGAGGTCCACGACGGGCACACCCGATTTGTGACTGAAGAGGGCGACGGGCGCGAGTGCGCCATGTGCAAGGAGGCGATCTTTGGCTCGGCAGTCTTGGCCATGGACTGCGTATTCCATCCGAACCACTTTGTGTGCGCCTACGATCGCAAGCCGTTTGATAACCTCACCTTTATCCCGCACAATGGCCTGCCGTACTGCGAGGCCCACTACCACGAGCTCTTCTCACCACATTGTGCCCGACAGGGCTGTCCGGACTCGATCATCCGCGGAGTTGCCATCTCTGCGCTGGGCGTTGCCTGGCACCAAGAGTGCTTCGTCTGCGCCGTCTGCAACGAGCCGTTCCCCTCGGGCGAGTTCTTCGAGTTTGAGGGACAACCATACTGCTCCGAGCACTTTGCGCTCGCCACCGGCACCGTGTGCACTGGCTGCGGCGAGGCCATCATTGGCATCTACGTTGTTCGCGGCGGTGAAAAGTTCCACGACCGCCCGGCTTGTCTTCCTTCGTCGTCATCGTCATCCACCCGCGCCACTCCAGGCTCACCGCGCCGCCGCTCGTCGCGCCGCGCACTCCGCCAGTCAGCTCACTCGCGCCGTCACGCGCGGCGGCGCAAGTCCCGCCGCGGCACCGATGCTTTCCTGTAGCCGTTGGGCCCAACCCATGACCTCAGCGCTACCGCCCAGCACTTGCCCTAGAGAGAGCCATTACAAACAATCCGCGCTACTGCGCTCCAGTGCCCCCCCCCCCCCCCCTCCCTATAGTGGCGCAGCCGGCACGTGCCGACCAACACACGCGTTCGTCGGCCTTCCCCGAAACATAAGACACGTGTCTCTCGCCCATGGCCAGCAAGCGCACGAGACGTGCGCTCCCACCAACGCCAGGGACACCGCCTTTGCGCACCACACCGACCAGCGCGGCGACCCCGACCCCGCCTGTGACATTGGCGGCGCAGTCCGTGCTTGAGGCTCCCGCCTCGCCGACGCCGGCTGCTGAGGCAGGGCCTGCCGCCGCTGCGCCGGGTGCCGGAGAGAGCCGGGACAGTGGCGGCGACCAAGAGGGAGAAGGGGTGCGGGCAGACGCGGGGGCAAGGTCGCAGACTGGCGAGAGAGCGAGCTTGCAGGCAGGGGAGGGGCAGGGTGGAGCACAGACGGCGGCTTGTGAGCGCGAGCGCCCGCGGTCGACCGAGGTAGCCTGCGCGAGGTGCCGCGGCGGGGTGGAGCGGACCGGGGTGGAAGCAGCCGGCGCTGTGTGGCACTCGGCGTGCTTTGTGTGCGAGCTGTGCGGCGAGAGCTTGCTGGACGTGCCGTTTGTGTCGGCGGGTGGTCGGCCGTACTGCGATACAGTGTGCATGAACGGCGGGACGGCGCCGCGGTGCCACGGATGCAAGCAGGACATGCAGACCACGGTCTTTGTCCGCTCGATGGGCCGCCTCTGGCACACCGAGTGCCTGCTCTGTTCCGAGTGCTCGGTCGCGCTCTCGTCCAAATTTATCAAAGCCAAGGACAAGGCGTTCTGCTCGGTGGCATGCGTCAAAAAGTACAAACGTCGCCGGCGCGAAGCGCGCAAGTCGCACACTCGCCCAACATCGACCTCGACCGCGGACATGCCCGCGCTTGTTCTTCCGGAGCGGACACCTGCGTCTGGCTCATCATCGTCGTCCCCCGGCCGCGCGTCGTCGGGCTCGGCTTCGTGCGATTCAGACGGTCGGACACCGCGTGGGTTCTCACCGGCCCACTCGGCCAACATGTCGGATTCGAACGACAACGACGAGTACGAAGTGCCGGCGGCGACCGAGTGGAAGATCGACTCGCCACTGAAGGCGCTCGAGGCCTGGCTCCTCGCACCGCCGTTTGTACGGCTCTATCGGATCACCCGCGCGCTCCCGCTCGGAGACCGGTCAGCGTTCATGGACGCTCTGGCTAACGTCGCAGTCTACCGCCAAGTCGCACTTCCGGTGCTCAAGATCTTCATCGACAACGAAGTCTCGGCCACCGAAGACTACACCACGTTGTTCCGGACCGATTCGCCGCTGACCAAGTTCATGAAGCAGTTTGCGGTACTCATCGGGCGCGACTACCTGGAAGCGTCGATCGGCCCGATGGTCCTCGACCTCGTCTTCCGCTCGGTTGCGTTGGAGATCGATCCGCAGCGCATGGGCGAGATGTCGCCTGAAGCTGCCGCCGCAGCGCAGGCCGCCAGCGCTGAGGCGCTCACCCGCGAGTGCTCCTCGTTCCTTGCCGCCATTCTCTTCTCCTCCAAGTTTGTGCCGCTCGCCTTTAGGTTCGTCTGCCAGTACCTCCAGGCTGCAGTCGCCCGCCAGTGGCCGTCGCGACCCGAGTTTGTGTACCGGGCACTCGGCGGCTTTCTCTTCCTTCGTTTTTACTGTCCGGCCATTGTCTCGCCCTCGGTCTTTGGTCTTGTCGACGAGACACCTGCGCGCCCTGTCCGCCGCACCCTCGTGCTAGTGGCCAAGACGCTCCAGAACATGGCCAATGGCGTCACGCCGCCCGCGTCGTCGCCGATGAACTTGCTTAACTCGTTCTGCGCCGAGCAGCAAGTCGCACTCCGTGACTTTTTCGACGACTTTGTGCGGATTGACGACGAGACCTCACCGGGCGCCACGCCCGACTCGCCCGTCTCGGCCAAGGCTGCGGTGCAGGCCATGTCTTCGCTCCAGCGCCTGCTTGTCGGTTCGGCGCCCTCGATCGGCCCCAAGCTCTCGGCGCGCGCATGGGCTGCCCTCGCCTCTCTCCTCATTCTCAACGACCCTCTCGTTCCGCTGCCAGACGTCGAGCGGGTGGCAATGGCCGCAGCGCTGGAAAAGGTGTTTGACAGTGACGGCGACATCCCGTCCGACAACGCCTCTCACGATGGCCCGGTCTCGGCCAATCTTGCGTCGCGGCTCCGGTCAGCCTCGCGATTCATGGGCTCCAAGCTCACCGCCATGCGTGCGAAGCGCAAGACCTCGCGCCCAGAGAGCCTTGACGCCATGGTCGACGCGCCAGTTGCCTACGACGTCATCGCGCGGTTCGATGTCTTGCGCGCCGCCTTCCTTGATGCCTTGGACACCTCTCAGTACGTTGTTGTTGCCGGAGAGACGCCGGTTGATGGCTTTCTGGCCGACCAGGATGCTGCCTTGCGTGAAATCGAAGCCAGCCGCGCCGAAGAGCGGGCTGGGCAAGCAGAAGAGCCCAGCAACGAGTGCACCACCGAGTCGTCATCTGCGGCTGGCACCACTCTGGCTGCGTCGCATGCCACCGTTGCGAGCGTTGAGTAAGAGAACGAACGGCTGTGTAAACGGTGTTTGGGGTCGTGTACTAGGGGCGGCGGGACGGCGGGGCGGGGGGAGGGGGGGGGAGCGAGAGTAATCACAGCAAAGCGCACTTCTTCTCCTTGGTGGTGACCGGCGGGAGGAGCGCAGCCATGATGGCCTCGTCAAAGGTGGTCTTGAGGCCTTCCTGGGTCAGGGCCGAACACTCGAGGTACTTGGAGGCACGAGTCTCCTTGGCCATCTTCTCGCCCATCTCACGGGTGATCGGCGACTGACCGCCGTTGCGCAGCTTCTCCAGGGTAGCCGAGTCGCAGGTCTTTCCGACGGCTCCGTCACCGACCACGACACACTTAATGGTCTGCATGCTAGTATGGGCTGTATCCAGAAGAAGGGTAGTTGGTGGGGGCAGGGAGGTGGAGGTGGGGGTCCGTGGCAAGCGGAGTACCGGTGGTGGTGGGGGGAGTGAGGAGCCGGTCGTAATCTTCCTGACCGGCAGTATCAAACAGCCCAAGGGTGTACGGCTCGCCGGTGGGGTTGGGGAGCACGGGCGGGGCACGGGACCGTCGGGACGTACTCGGACGGGAACCTGAGGTTGTTCGGAGAGGTTAGTGAGGAGGGGCGGGGGAGGGTAGGGGGGGAGGGGGTACATTTGTCACGTACCGCAGCGTGTGCAGAGAGAGGCGTGCGGTGGTCGTTCGGCCGGGCTGTCGCCCATTCTCATTCCATTCATGTTGGCTCTTTACGGCGCTGGCTCTCGCCCCAAACGGGGGCTGGCGCTTGGCCACTGACCAAACGGGGGGGGGGGCTCTCACTCCGATTCGGGCTCGTCCAAGGCACCAGTGTCGGCTGGCAAACCTCAAGCCCCAGCCATACAACGTCGATTGGCTAGGCAATGGTCACCGGCGGGAGCATGGCGGCCGGCGATCCGCCAACGCCAGACTCGGGCGTGAGGATGCCAGACTCGGCGAGCTGGGCGATGCGGGCCCCACTGTTGTCCCCAAAGGCGGCGGCAAGCGCAGACGCCGGGTGACCAGTCATGGCGCAGACCATGCGGTGCTTGGCCTCGAGCGACGCCTTGTCCACGTCCGACGCAATGTTCGAGACGAGGCTCATAAAGCCCGGGAGCGCTGCCAGCCACTCGATGCCGGCACCGCTTCTTGCGGCACCGGCTAGGAACCCGTAGACTGCCACGCGCTGCTCAGGGAACGGCAGCTCGCGTCGCGAGAGCAGCGCCGCTCCGCCAGCAGACTCGGCCGCCGTCACAATGGCCAGCAGCCGCGCCGACGCCTCGTCTGGCAGGCTCGACAGCGCGCCACCGAGCGAGTGCAGCGCCGCAACCGTGTCGGCCGGTGCGTGTAGCGGCGAGCCGGGCTCTGCCAGCGCAGTCTCAGCCGCCAGCGCCACCAACCCCGGGCCGTCGGCGTGGCCCATGACCGCGTCGAACCCTTCCGGCGTCGAGAGCGCTAGGCCAAGCGAGCCAAAGCCGAGCGAGGCGTCGTCGCTGCTCAGTGCAGCCATAAGCGCCACAAGATCAAGGTGCGGCGCCACGTGCGCCACCTGCGGCGCCACAATGTGCAACAGCGAGGCTCGTATCGGCCGAAGCGTCTCACTCGCCAGCGCCACACTTGCCAGCGCCTCAAGCGTCGACCCGGTGAGCAGCTCACGTCCAGCCCGAGTCTGGACCGCGGCCACCACAAGCTCGAGCATGTTGAGCTGGATGAGCACGTCGACGCTCGGGTCTGCCAGCGTCTCCAGTAGCGGCGCCAGCAGCTTGTGCTCGGCCACAGCCGCCACCGGCGCCGCCGTCGGCTCCGCACCTGCAATCGCCACCAGCGCCTCCCACACCCGAAGCGCAACAAGCTCGCCATCACGGGTAAACGAGGCCCCCTGGACCCACGCCAGCGCTTCGGGCGCAAAGACCGTCGCCGAACCCGCAGCCGCAAGCCGCACAAGTGCCGCGTTCGCCCGCGCTGCAAGCCCAAGGTCGTCGCGGGCGAGAGTCCGCCACAGCAGCGCGCCCCACGGCGCCGTCTGGGACGGCAGGACTGGCAGCCGCGCTTCGACCAGTTCCAGCGCGAGGCCCATCCGCCGCAGTGGCACCTCGTCGCCAGCGAGGCCGAGCAGCGCCGCTGCAAGCGAGGCGTAGACAGGCGGGAGCTCCGCAGGCGCCGCGGCCACCAGCGCCACCACCTGGCACACCGCATCGTCGTCGGTCGACTCGGGCACCACCGCCTCCAGGCTCGCCACCAGTGCCGCGTGCGGAAAGCCCGGCCCAACTTCGGTCGCACGCGGCCGCCCACCTGCCGCTGCGCACGTCAGCACGTCGCCCATGGCCGTCGCCACAGCCTCAACTGCTCCGGCCGCAGGCAGACCCTCCAACGCCGCCGCCAGCGTCGCTACCGCCGCCGCCATGGCCGCCCCGGCTGTTGCCCTCGCCTCGGCCGATGCACTGCCCTGCTCTAGAGACATGGTTGTGTAGAGTCGAGTCAGGGTGAGTGCGTTGTGAAACGTTTAGCTTGTCTCGGCTACTGTCTGCTGTCTGCCGTCTGCCGTCCGCAGGTCGCCGGGTCGTCGTGTTGCGGTGAGACCCAGACCTCACGGCTCGTCGCGACCTTGGCGGCCTCCCGACTGCGGCCAGACCGCCGAAGATCGCCGCCGTCCAGAGAGGCTTGGACGGTTGCGGCGCGATGGTTGCCTACTGCTCAGCGGCTTGGCCTGGACCACACCCACCAGTGGGAGCGAAGGATGCGTCCGCCGGCTCGACGAGTGCGCAGAGCTCGGGTTCGATGCCTTCCACGACGACGAGCGGCTGGACGATGAGCTGAGGGCCGACCTGCGAGAGCTCCGTCTCGATTCCAAACCCGAACTGGAATCCGAGCTCACGCTCAAACTCACGTCGACGAGCGCAGATCCGGGTCCAGCCTCGGACGAGTTCGAGGAGCCCAGGGCGACGGTGGTCAGCGCCATCCCGCCGTCCGAGCTCCACTCGCCTTCGCCCTCGCCGAGGCGGACGGCGACAGCGGCGACGGCCTCGCCCAGCTCGGGCGCCATATCCGGCACTTCGCGCTCAAGCTGCCGCGCCAGCCGGCGGGCCCGATCATGCGCCGGCGAGTATCTGTTGCGCCGCGAGCGCACTATCTGGAGGAGGTCGGTAAAGAGCGCGCGCGCGCCAATGAAGCACAGGATGACGAGCATGAGGACCACGGGCACAAACAGCGTGTCTGCAGCCTCCGGATCCGCGTGTGACGCCGCGCCCAGGAGCAAGATGACCACAAGAACCACTGTGAGCTGGAAGTCGAGCCGATTGTACAGTGGATAGTAGTACGGCTTGAACGAGAGCACGGCCCACGAGGCTGAGAGCAGGATGGTTAGCAGCACCCCGATCTGTGGAATCTGCCTGTCAGACACAAACACGGCTGTACACACAATTGCAAGCCGCTTGCCCAGATCTGCCACCCCGCCCCAGTAAAACGGGACTCGGTAGAGCTTGTACAGCTCGCCGTATCGCGCAAACGTGGCAGGTTCCAACAACTGGTGCTGCGACCGCATCAGCGCGAGCATCGAGTACGCCGGCACGCCGATAACATACGTGGCCAGCCCGCCAATGCCTACCGGGAACACGCTCCACCAAGCCTCATCAAAGCAGCCCACGCCTGGATCGGCATCAAGGACCCAGTCTCCGTTCGGGAGCCGAGTACAATCAAAGAGCACAAACGTCGCCCGCGCCATCGGAATATACACCAGTGGCGCAATCGAGAACACCGCAGCATCCACAAGCACGCCCATCGTCACTCCAGACAGCTTGGCCCGCATCGCCGAGAAGCGTAGCGTGGTGGCAATTGCTACCGCGCCAAGGAACACCACAAGCGGCAGCGAGACCGACACCGCATACTTGTAGTGGAACGAGGTCAGCGAGCACTCGGACGCAAACAGATTGACATCGACGTTGGCGATGTTGAAAGACCGCAGTGCGCCGCGCGCTTGCCCCGACCATGACAAGTCGATGTCGCCCAAAATTCCCACAACCTGGAACGCAACCAAGATCATCGACAGCGAAGCCGGCATTGTCCGCTTGCGGAGACTACCTCCGCCAGCCATGCCCTTGCGCGCCTTGGCCACCGAGAGCACAACAACAACTCCGGCACCGGCACCAATCGCTGCTAGAATCGCCATTCCGCCGGCAAGCGCACCCTGCGACTCGGGTGGGCACACGACGCATTCTTGATTGGCATTCGAGTAGTATCCGACATCGCACACGTTGCACATATATCCCACGTAGCCCTTGGCACAGCTCCGCGCCGCGCCACCCGGGCATCCGCTCGCCCTCCGGCATTGCACAAACGACGAGTTGGACTCTCCATAATACCCTGGCGCTGCCAGAGGCGGATCTCGTCCGCGCTTGCACACCGCGCCACTTGGACACGGGGCACACTCGACCACGTAGCTTGCTTCAGGATTGATGCCCACGAGCATAAAGCCTGTGTCGCACATGCACTCTGGAACCGCGTCCAGCGCCGATGACACATCTACAGAGTTGATCCCGCACTCCTTGATCGGTACGCAAGGCACAAACCCGACAACGTCAGAGTGAGAGCTCGCCGGACACTCACGGCAGAGCGTGTACAAGGTCGCCCCATGTCCAGCCAGCAGTGTCGTCTCTTTGCCGTACCCGACAGCACAGGTTGTCAACGCCACACGCCCGCTCAGACTCGCAACTGGCAAGCCGGATGAGCCCGGGGCGCGCACCACTTCTACAACGTAGGCCACCGTCGGAAGTGGCTCGTTCTCGCGCTGCTCTTCCACCAGCAGCGCCACGTCGGGCAACTGCGTCGTGGCGGCATCCAACCGCACGTCGCCGGCAGCAGAGGAACCGATGCCAGCGCTCGCCGCCACCACCACCCGGAGCGCGGTGTTGGCGTACGTCACGGTATTGCCCGACGCGTCGTACCCGACGATGAATCCGCTCAGCGACGAACCGACAGACATGCTCGCCGCCGGTGGCGTCTCCCATCGCAGCAGTGCTAGAGGCCCGTGGACGCCGGGCGCCCCACGCCTGCACTCGTCACAATTGATCCGCCGTCGGTGCCGTCGGCATGTGCGCACACAAGCACGTCGGCGCTCGAGCCTAGGGCTCCACCCCGCAGCGCGACATTGTCCGACCAGATCGAGCCCGAGCCGGCCACAAGCATGCTAGCACTCGAGCCGTCGCACAAAAAGGCGCCGCCACCGTAAGACACCCCAGTGTTGCTCCTCACCACAGAGTCTACCAGAGTGATAGCAGACGCGTTCGACGCGGCACCCAGCTCCAGCGTCGGCACCTCCGCCATCGAGCTGGCTCGGGTAACAGCGTCAACACTAGCGTCGGCGGTAGCCAGCGCGCCACCGACTGCCGCAATATTGCCTGTCAGCGCCGATGAGCTGATAGCAGCGGACGAGCCCGGGCGCACAAACACGCCACCACCACCAAGTGCCGAGTTGCTCACCATGTTCGTACCAATCACCTCGGCGCGTCCGCCGACGTCAACAAACAGCCCGCCACCAAAGCCGGCGGCAGCCGTGTTGCGTGCAAGAGTCGAGTTGTGCAAAAACACTGTGCCGAGGCTGGAGACGCTGATGGCGCCGCCCGAGACTTTCGCCGTGCACTCCACAATCATGGAGTTGATCAGCGTGGCGCTCGATTCGGCATCAGCCACGTACAGCGCGCCGCCAGTGACAGCTGCAACTGCGTCGCTCACAACAGTATCAACAACGCGCAGCGAGGCGCCCGAAGTCGCCATAAGCGCCCCGCCATAGCCGGCAAGCACCCGATTCGGATTGACAGACGTGTCCGAGACCGCTCTCGTCAGCGTGACGTTGGTCAGAACTAGCCGCGCGCCAGCGCCATCAGCACGCAGCCCCGGGGAGCCCAGCAGCGACGTTCGCGCACTGCCGGTCTTGGTCACAGCCAAGTGTTGCAACTCGAGATAGCCGCCACTGACAACCTGGAACAGCACGCCACCGACCTCGGTCGGTGCCGACAAGGGCGTGCAGTCAAAAGAGGCACCTGCGCGGCCGTCAAGAACGATTTCGTGGGCGATGGGAAAGTGGGCCTCGAGCCGGCAGCCAAATGTCCGCGCCGGGAGAACAAGCGTGTCGCGGACGCACCGCGAGGTCCGGCCGATATTGGCGGCCAGACAAGCAAACGAGCCACGCGCACTGCCACACGCTGCCAGGCTATCGTCAAACATAACTTGCTGCGGCGACGGCTCGTAGAAGGCGCTTGGCGCTGTTACCGCCGGAATCCAAAACAGCGACTCGGGACTCCCACTGCTGAACAGCCAGTCCATGTCACCGTCGCTGTCCATGTCCACCAGTACAGGCACTGTAGATTGGTAAGCTGCGCTGGCAACTAGGTGGAATGGGTACACAAACGGAGTGCCCGCAATTGGCGCCGCGCCGCCAGGGACATCTGCGATGATGTTCTCGAAAACACCGATATACTTCTCGACCTGGGTGAGAATGACAAGATCAAGGTCGCCGTCAGCGTCGACATCAACTGGCCAGGCGTATCTCATCCGGTCAAAAACCTGGAGTGCCACAGCTGTCGGCGCGGCGCTCGAAACGTCCGAGACAAAGTGGACGAAATGGAGCGGCGTCGGGCCCAAGACCCGGTGAACTACATCGAGCGCGCCATCAGCGTCAAAGTCGGCCACCGCCCATCGCGTGTCTGCCACTTCGGTGTGGTACGACGAGGGCAGCGTCCAGGACGCCGCCGTCCAAGCCAACCCGGCTCCACCCGTGTTGATGTAGTAGTAGAGGCTGGAAAAGGTCCCGAGTGCCACAATGTCGGTGTCGCCATCGCCATCCACATCAGTCAGTACGCACTTCCAGGCGTCGACCGACGTGGCCACAACGACTTCGTTGCTGTATGTGCCGGAACCGTCGAGGTTGACAAAGACCGAGATGACTTTGCGGGTACTCCAGACCGAGACCACATCCCAGTCGGTGTCGCTGTCAATGTCGACGGCTTCGATGTATGAGACGCCTGGCGGCGATTGCGTTGAAATGGTGTGAATGACGGCAAAGTCGCCAGTAGCACCCACGTTCTCAGCCCAGATCAGCGGGACGCCGGCTGTCGCGGCAGCGGCAATGACGTCGAGATCACCATCGGTGTCGACGTCGACGAGGACAACCATCGACGCCCCGTTAAAGTCCGAGAGAATCGACCGTGGCGCGGTGTCGAGCTCGCCGCCTCCGACGCCACGCTGCCAAGCCACAACGTCAGTGCTTTCTCCGACAAACACCACGTCGACGATGAGGTCGCCGTCGACGTCGCCAGCAGCAACAAACGAAGCCTCACTTGGAGCATTTGGAACAGCTTCCTTCCTGGAAATGAGGCCCCGGTACTTGGATGTCGCAGGCATGGCACCGAGGTCGTTGCGAAAGAGTGCGATGCTCGAATCACTACTCGGGGACGTGCCTTGTGCCACGACGTCGCCGAGGCCGTCGCCATCGACATCCAAGATGAGCAAGCGCTTGGCGTGAAACTCACTGGAGAGCTGCTTGCGCGAGCCAAAACCCCCAGAGTCGAGCCCAGGATACCACGCCAGCAGATGGAGGCCACCGGCGCCAGAGACGTCTGACGCAAACGCGATGTCATGACGGCCATCGCCGTTGATGTCGCCGATCGCGAGGGCGGTAAGGTCGTACAGGCTGCCCGAGTCAATAATGTGAACGGTCCAGTGCGGACTGGGGCTCTTCGGCTGCACATTAGCGAGCCAAGCGAGCTGGCCTTCGCTGCTCACGACGACATCGGGCCTGCCGTCGTTGTTAAAGTCACCGGCGCGGACCATGAACGGATACAGCGGAGTGTACGGCAGATTGTGTCGTGTCCATGTCGAGCCGTCACCGGCCGTGTTTTCGTACCACGCTAGAGCATTGTCGGAGCGGAAGACGACAACACAATCGAGCGAGCCGGACGAGTCAAAGTCGGCAAAGGCGGCCGACGTCGGCTCCGACATGAACGCCTGGGATGTGTCAATGGCAATTGCGCTACCAAATGAGCCACCGCCGAGGTTCGGCAGCCACCATACGCTGCTGGTGGTTTCCCTGAGCGCAAACAGGTCGTCATCCAGGTCTCCGTCGATGTCAGCGGTGACGACGACAACGGCATCGCCCAGCGGATCAAGAGTTCCCATGGATGTAAAGATTCCAGCGCCGTCGTTGGCGTACCAAATGATGTTGGTCACGCCAACTCGACCCAAAACCAAATCGACGTCGCCGTCACCTTCGACATCAACAGCCGCAATGGTCATGGGCACAAACATCATCGACGCCTCAACAACGCTGCCAAGAACAAACGAGCCGTCGCCAAGGTTGCGATGCCAGGCCAGCCCGCCGTTGGCCCAAACAACAACAACATCGACAATACCATCGCCGTCGACGTCACTCGAGGTTATGGCGGCTGAAAGGCCACCGGGATTGGCCATGGCCACAGGGGTGCCTGGCGGTGAGCCAAAGGTCCCGTCGCCGTTGCCAAACGCAATGCCAACGTCAGATCCCCGACCGGCTACAACATCGACGACAGCATCCCCGTCAACATGACCGACTACCACCGTGTAGGGTCGGGTAGTAGAGACGGCAGTTGTGGACGCGGCGAAGCCGCCGACACCGTCCCCCGCATAGAAATAGATACGATTTCCCGAGAATACCGCGGCAAAGACGTCCAACTTGCCGTCGCCATTGCCGTCGGCAACAACGACGTGCTGCATGCTACTCACACTCGAGATAACGGTAGAAGTCGTCCAAGACCCACCTGCACCGTCGTTGAGTGCAAGCACAATGTTGCTGCGGTAGTTGGAGAAAACCACAATGTCCCCATCCAAGTCGCCGTCCATGTCGGCGATGATGGCACCGTCAGACTGGATGGACGGCGACGGTGAAGCCACAAGCTGCGGAGTTCCTGAAAAGGTGCCGTCGGCGTTGAGGGGGATCCAATCGAGCCTCGAGCTGGATGCGAGCGCAAGGTCGGGCACGCCATCACCGGAGATGTCGCCAGCAGCCAGAAAGGGCGAGAATGTGTTTTCTGCATCGTTGGGCGCAAAGAAGCCCGGTTCGGCAGCAATGTTCATGTAGATGATGACAATTGTCGAGCTGACAACGACGTCGGGCAGTCCGTCAGCGTCGATGTCAATGACGGCCATGTCGTCGGCCGAGCTAAAGTCCGATGCAATGTCGCGGCTAGTCTCCGACATGTAGTACGGGGCAAGCGTGCTGCGAGGGTAGGCTAAGACGCGGTACTGGGTGAGGACCAGGATGCCGGTCTCGCCGTCACCAGCGAGATTGGGGGCAAGGCCGACCAAGACAATGGACTCGCTGATCAAGTCGATGACATGAGGAACCCAGCGATGATAACCCGAACCGGCAACATTGTTTTCAAACCAGCCGAGAACCTTGCCATCGTTGCCGTACACCACATCGGTGTTGCCGTCTGCGTCGACATCTGAGAGGACCAAGTGGCGCGGAACAGCTCCATTGAGGTCGATCAGAGTCGGAGCCACCAACGAACCACCGCACGCCTGCTTGCCTGCTGCAACCGTGTAGAGGAGGAAAAGGAACGTCAGTGTGGCGAGGACGTAGGGGGGAGGGATGGTCATGGGTGAGGGTGGGAAGGAGGGGTGGGGGGTGAGGGGGTGGGATGGGGGGGTGGGGGGGGGGGGGTAGCGAGGGGTGAAGAACTCAGCCAAAGATTGTCGTCGCAGAACTCGGGTATGATCCGGTGACAATGACAGCGGTACTGGTTTGGCGCGGACCAGAAACCGCCTAATCAAACGCACCCTCCAGTTTGCTATCGTCACACAAGCAAGCACAAGGTGGCCAGATCGAACTCTGGTGGCACCAGATCGAGATAGAGCGTTGCCGCACGAGTCCCCACTGCCCTCGTCACCTCCTGCCTGATCGCCTCTTGCCTGAACACCGCCACACATCTGCTGTCGCTTCAGCACGCGCGCCCCCTGACCCGCAACCCCCTACAGTGATCATCTCGGTCGCTACTGGTCTTGGTCATCAGCTCGAGGCACTTGTCGCTGTGCAGGCGATCGGTATGGCTGGGGTGGGGCATGCAGCCGAGGACTTTGTCGTTGCGCGATGGGCGGCGATGATAGAGGATCCCATGTGTGCCGAGCGGCTGTGTGGCTCTACGCCTGTGGTGCTGCTGGCGACGGGCGCGCTCTCGCCGTGCCACCGCATGCATGTGGGCGGACTTCTCGCGGCACGGGCAGCCGTGGAGGACCGCGGACTGTTTGGCGCCAACGCCGTGGTGGTTGCTGGCCTGCTCTCGCCCTCGCATGAAGAGTATGTGGGCGGAAAGCTTGGCACCGCAGCCATGGACGGCGAACTCCGCCTGGCGGTCGTGGCAGCGTCGATAGCCGACGCGGGGCTCGATGGATGGATGGCGGCCGATGACTGGGAGGTCTCTCAGCCGACCTTTGTCGACTACCCGCGGGTGGCGCGGACGCTGCACGCGCGCATCGTCGACGCAGCCACCACTTCAGGTGCTACCGATCTTGCGGCCTCTCTCCGCGTTGCTTACGTCGCTGGCGCCGACCACGTTGCCAAGTGCTTCATGGAAGGCCTGGGCGCGCGCGGCATCGGCGTTGTCTGCCTGCCGCGCGGCATGGACACCGTCCGTGCCCGCCGAAAGTACCCCGATGAGCTCGAGTGGATCGTCTTTGCCACCGACGATGAGCTTGCCGCCGCCGCTGATGCCGTCTCGGCCCCGACCCGTACCTCGTCGACCCTCGTCCGGCAGCTCCTTTCCGCCCCAGCTAGATCCGAAGAGCACGATGCCGTCTCCACCATGCTCTTCCCATCTGTTCTCACCATGCTCGTTGATTGAATCTTTTTGCCTCGACACTGTCGTGTGGCTCGCTGCGACTGCGACTCGCCACGCCGCAGGCCCCCCCCCTCCCCCTCCCCCCGCCGCAGCCACTGGCCGCACACGTGCGACTGCCCACGCCCACTCTACGCGGCCCACTCCAACCTACACCTACACCCCTCTCCCACCCCCATTCCGCCTCACACACACACATTCCCCTCCCTCCCTCCCTCCCTCCCCCCCCCCCTCCGAACCCCAATCCCATGCCCGGTGACGGCGTCGACAAAGAGGCGCTCAAGGCCAAGATGGCCGCGTCCAAGGCCAAGCTGGCCAAGCTCAAGCTGGCCCAGAAGCGCAAGGCCCTCGCCGCAAAAGTGGCTGCAAAGCTAGCGGCAGCCAAAGCGGCAGATACTGCGTCGGGCGCAGCTCCGGCGTCGGGCACAGCCCCAGATGCTACGCCTCCGCCGGCTGCAGCGACTGCGCCACCGCGGACGTCTTCCACGGCCGCTCCGACGCGCGCACTTGCACCATCGCAAACGCCTGCTGCCGAGTTTGTGGGAGAGCCGTCGCTGCCCCGCGGGCGGGCGGCGACACGCGGGCGGCGGCGGGCGTTCCGATTCCTGCCCAAGGGCGCGCTGACCGCGCGGTTGCGGCGGCAGCGCGAGGCGGCCGCCGCCGCCGCGACCGAGACCGGCGAGACCGACAAGCGGTTCGACGACTTTCACGTTGTGGGCGAAGGCGCTGGTGCGGTGGAGTGGTGGGATGCCGACATCGGCCCGAACACGCTCGACAATCTCGTCGAGCACCCGGTCCCCATCCCGCCGCCAGTGGTCGGCGCCGGCGCTGGTGCGACCAAGGTGAGGATGACTGCACGCGAGCGGCAGAAACTCCGCAAGCGTAAGCGCAAGGAGCTGGAGGAGGAGCGGCAGGTCCGGATCCGGCTGGGGCTCGAGAAGCCACCGCCGCCCAAGGTCAAGCTCTCCAACATGATGCGGGTGCTTGGCATCGAGGCCGTCGCCGATCCCTCGGCCGTGGAGGCCCGAGTGAGGGCCGAGACCAACGCCCGGATCCAGGCCCATCTTGACCGTAACGCTGCCGCGGCACTGACGCCCGAGCAGCGCAAGGCCAAGGAGAAGGCAAAGCGAATGGAGGACACGTCGCAGCATGTGGCAGTCGCGGTCTTCCGTGTCGAGTACCTCGACGCCGTCGCCTGGCGTGCCTCCATCGCCGCCAACGCCAAGCACTACAACCTGACCGGCACCGTCCTCACCGGCCCCTATGCTGTCGTGGTTGTCGAGGGCGGCCCCAAGGGTATCGGCAAGTTCACGCGCTGGATGACCCAAAAAGTCAAGTGGACCGACGTCACGCTTGTTGCCCACGACGTTGCCAAGCGTGCGGAGAAGCGCGCCGCCCAGCGCGCTGCGGGCGTCCCAGACCTTGAGCTCGAGGCTGCAGAGACCAACCTGAACGAGGCTTCCATCGCCGCCAACGCGTGCTCTCTGATCTGGCTCGGCTGGGTCCGTCGCCGTGCCTTTTCGGCCTTTACCTTTGAGAAAGGTGGCACGCTCGCCTCTGGCCGCGCCTTTCTCAAGTTCAAGAACTGCGAACACTACCTCGACGTTGCGGCGCGGGTCGGCCCGTCATCCTAGGCACAAGCTTCAGAGCTTGGCGCTGAGGAGCGTGTGTGAGCCCTTGCGGAAGACAATCGGCAGCGAGTTGGCCTCGATGAGCCCGCCGTGGGCCGGTGGCACCAGTGAAGCCTCGCCTGCTTCGTCGCGGGCCTGCCACTCGGCATGCTGTGTCGCCGCCAGCTTGTACAGCTCGCCATAGACGCCGACAACGTGGTCGAGCGCGAGAAAGTCGACAATGGGCATCCACTGCGCGGCGGCGATCTCCGAGGCCTGCCGCACCGGCTCCGGTCGCGGCTGCTCAGAGTCAAGCGGCATGTACGCCACAAGTAAAAGTCTGCCGGTCGAGCTCTGGCGCCGGTGGCGCCCGTCGCGTGCCGGACGCCGACGATGCCCACCGCCACAGCCTCGATGGCGGTCTCCTCCCGCACCTCGCGGGCAGCAGCATCGAGCAGCTCCTCGTCTGGATCAACCGACCCTCCGGGTAGTTTCCAGAAGCCCGGAAACGGGCCGTTAGCCTCTTGCACCACCAGCACGCTATCGCCGTGCGTCACAAATCCGCCGATGCCGGCCTTGAACGCCGGCGCCGGTGGCAGCGTCGACGGCGTATCGTCCGGCAGCCACATCGCGAGCGTCAGATGCTCAGGGCTCGCCGAGTGCATAGCAAACCCGGTCGCGATGGCGACTTGTGCCAGATGCACAAGCTCCGGACGCAGGCGCAGCCACACCCCGCGCTTCCCTGCTTCACGCCAAGTAGCCAGGCTCTGCCCCAGAGCGATGGCAAAGGCGTCGGCGTCCGAGGGCAGCGCCGAGCCCGAGACCAACACCCCGCCGTATGCATCGGGCTTCCAGGCCAGCTCGGCCGCCGACTCGCCGTCTTCAGCCATTTGGTAATGGGAGGGGAGGGGAGGGGAGGGGGAGGGGAGAGGAGGGGAGAGAGAGTGGGGGGGGGGGATGCGGTGGCAGGGGTGCGAGGGGTGGCGGAGGAAGCAGCGGCAGGTGGCAGCCATGGCCGCACACCCGACATACGCCATGGGCCCACTCTTCTCACTCCTCACTCTTCAACTCCCTCCCTCTCTCTCTCTCCCACACACACACACACACACACACCGACCTCTCACGCCCCGCGCTCCACCCACCCCACCCCATCCCCTTTCCACTACCCTTATGGCTCGGTATCTGCCCGAGACAGACAACGTCGGCCTCCTGCTGACCCCAGAGCTGCAGCCACCGGCGCCCTTTGGTCTCTATCCGCGGGTCTCCTCCGTCCCGCCTACGCCGCCACGGTACCCTGTAAAGTCCGATGCTGTCGGCGCTGCTGCCGGGCGGAGACCGGTAACGTCTCCGGTCCCTGGACGCTCCTCGCCCCGCCACCCCTCGCCTGATCTACAGGCCGACAGGTGGAGCACCACTTACGGCGCAGACTACGTTTCGCCCAGCAAAGAGCTGGATCCGTTCACGCCGCGACGCCAGCTCCACCGCTCGCCGCCGATCGAGCACGTGCTGAACGAGCCGGAACCCATCAATCGCTCACTGATGACGCACTCGACGCCGTCGCCGCAGGTGCGCTCCCCGCAGTTGTCGCCTGCAGCGGCTTGGCAGGACGTAGAGGTCATGGCTCGATCGCCGGAAGCACTCGTCGAAGAGGTCCTTCGTCTGCGCTCCGAGTTGGCTGCCGTCCAGGCCCAGGTGGCGCAGCTGGCTGGACGCGCGGTCGCCGGCGCATCCGCTCACAGTGGCGCGCTCGCCGACGAAGCCGCCGGTGCACCACTTCCGGAGAGCGAGCTAGTCTCGACCTCGTTTACCATCCCCCTCTCTGACAACGAGGCGTCGGACGACTTGGTTGCACAGGTTGTTCGCTCGCGCTCGCCTTCTGGTCCGCGCCCGCGCCCACGGTCGCGTCCGCGCCCACGCCGTCGCGTCAAACCGGCAGCGTCGCCCCAGACATCCCGGCCACGACCGGCCAGGAAATCCGAGATTGGGGGCCCAGAACGTCGGGCCCGGCCCCAGCCAGCAGTGGTCAACTCCCACACCAAGCATGCGAGCAGCAGCCGGGGTCGTCGTCGCAATCGGACCCGTAGTCGTGCCCGCGGAAGTAGCCGTGGACCCGCCCGGCGCGCAGGACCCCGGCTGGAGGTTGTCGTCCGCGACTGTCGTCCACGAACAGACGTGACCGAACAGCGGCGCACGACGTATCCAAACGACAGCCTTGCTCGGGCCGCAGCCGGGTGGCGACCAGGTCGCGGTGATGCCGGCACTGTCACCATCCACTCCAACCTTGCGCACGATCAGGTGCGAGGCTCGCCGGCGCTTGGCGGAAGACAATAAACATCGCCATTGAGCCAAGCCATCCGCCGCCCACCCGCCAGCTGCTCTAGGCCATTTTCGACCTCCATTGGGATCAGGAGCGAGCGCTGGACCAGCTCAGTCGGTCCGATGTCGCCACGTCCCGCCTCGGTCTCACACTCGGCCAGAATATCCAGCGCCAGATCCTGAATCTCGCGTCCGCCGGCCGTCTTTTCAATGGCGACCGCTGCCGCTCGGTGTGTCACGACTGCCTGTTGTGACGCCGGCTTCCGCGCACTCAGTGTGCTGAGGATCCGCGCCCAGCCCCCGGCACGAGCCACGGGTGCCGCCAGGCCCGAGTGCGACGCCGACAACGCACGCACCGCCAGCCGCCTCCGCAAAGCGCCCGTGCGTGCCTGCTCTGCCCCCGCCCAACGCGCCAGCAGCACTACGTCGGTTGCAGCAACAGCAGCTGCCGTGCGCTCGTCGGTGCCCGCTCTGCTGCCGGAAAGAACCAGCCTGGCCGAGTCGCCATCAAACGACGCGAGTCCCCACGAGATGGCATCGGCGACGCCACGCAGAACCACGTCCCGACGAGTGCTTGGCAGAGATCTGCCCAGCTCGTCCAGTAGCATTCCCACCTTGGGGCGATCTGCTCAGGCGTAGCGCCACGCGGCGCACGCAGATACGCCACCGCTCGCGCCACCACCGCCGCCGAGTCTGTGACCTGAACACCGTCCAGCAGCGGCAGCGCACGCGGTGCCACCCCCGAGCCCGGCAGGTACTCTCTTGTTCTTCCTTGCTCCTCTTCGCCCGCGCTGTCGCCGCTGAGCAGGCTCACGTCGTCGCCTGCTGCCGCCGTGCCCGGCCCGCGCAGCCTCGCCGGCCGTCGGCGCGCCCGCCTGCTGCGCCTGCCAGCCCTCCCACCACCAGCCAACCCGCGAGACGGTCGGTGTGCATGCCGCTGCGCACGCCGCGTGGCTGCCGACGATCCTTGCCCATACCGTCTCCTCCCGCGGTCTACGCCCAGCATGCGAGAAGTGTCGGACACGTCCGCGCGTTGCGTGTTACTCACCTCGACGACGCCGCTACCAGCCGCAAAACGTTACCAGGCAACATCGTCATAGGCAGGCGGCGGAGCCGATGGCGTGGGCATGTTACGCCGGCCAGGGGCAAACGGCGGAGACGGGTCCTGCCGGCGGCCTGGCTTGTTTGGCTTGCTGCCGCCGCGCCCGCTGTCATCGGTCAACGAGCTCGATCCCGAGTGCGAGCTGGGGTAGCGGGTGGCGAGACGCGACGTGGTTGGCAGCGCAGGCGCGACGTGTCGCGGCTCTGATGCTGAGAGGGCCGGATGCGCCGTAAACGTACTCGGGCAGCAACTGTCCATGGCAACAACGCCGACAAAGACCGCTGTGGCCAAGACCCAGGCCACGATGGGCACGAAGAAGAGGACAGTGAAGAAGACAGCGGCGACGTTGCGCTTTGGTCGGTCCCAGCGAAGCGTGCCGTCGGGATTGCGCTCGTGGTACCAGCACTTCTGGGACACACCGTCGGCCTTGAACCGAAGCCATGAGTCCCGGCAGTCGGTGCGATCGCGCTCGCATCTGCTGGTGAGGAAGCGCGGCGACTCGCGGCAGCAGACCGCACCACTCGCCACGCGCTTGATGTGGACAATTAACGTTGTCGCGAGGTTGTAGCACAGTCCGCACACCGATTGGCAGTGGCGATTGGTGACCTCTTGCGCGCAGCGGCAATTGCAGGTGTGGCAGACCCGGCGGTAGCGGGTGCGGTAGCAGGTATCGCATCGGCGCGAGGACGTCGATCCCCGGCAGCGGCAGCTGTATCTCTCGCTGTATGCCTCATCAGTGCAGCACGTCTCGCACTCGGTCCGGCAGCAGTGCGGCCCGTTGCAGCACTCGCCAGCGGTGAGCGCCGACTGCATGGCGCTGCAGGTAGCGGTTCCTGCCGTGCACTCGGCGCAGATGCAGTTCTCGATGGTGCAGCAGCCGTAGCTCGTCGCTGTGGTGTTGCGATACTCGCACGTCGTCTCCACGTACGACGCTAGTTCGCGGGCATTGGGCAGCACACTTCCAAACAGTACACCGAGAGCAATGGGCAGGCACATCAGCACCACGCACAGGGTGATCGGGTGGAAGACATGGTTGCACCCGTTGCGGTCGATGCGGCACATGGAGAGAGGGGTGTGAGTGAAGGAGATGGCAAGCGAGGTCGTTGGTGCCTCCGTCCCGGCGGCAACTCTGCGAGTGGTGGCGAGTCCGAGGTGTGTGAGGTGAAGGGGGAGGGGTTGCTCGAGCAAGATCGATGACTGATGGAGGACGGAGGGAGGCTGGATAATGCGGTCCTTCACTCAAAACGACCTTGACTCGGCCACAGGCTCGGCTGGCTAGCTGGCCAGGTCTGGCTGCGGGGAAGAGAAGTTTGCCGAGGACAGCCGATACGCGTCTCGGCTTGGGGATACCCAAACCACACCCAAGGATCTTCATCATCCGACCCCCCAACACATGTGCAAACACTGCTGATGGTTTTAGCAAAAGACGCGCGGTGTCAATACCACCCTTGCCCTACTCGCTCACCTCCGATGTCTCACCGGCCGCCGCCTCACTCCAATCGGTTGGCCAGCGAGTCGGACCCGACTGCCGTGCGTCACGAACAGCGGCCACAAGTGACCCGACCGGCCACAGCTGAACCAGGAACCAAGCCACACTCGTCCCCCCCCCCCCCCCCCCTCCCCCTCCCCTCCCCCTTCACCTCTCATGGACGCCGAGGCGGGTATGGGCATGGACGCCGAGGTGGGTATGGACATGGATGCAGTGCTGCCTGGTGTCGAGGCCGTGGCGTCGGGCACGTCGTCGTCGTCGTCGTCGTTGGGTGGAGAAGCTGGTGACAGTGCCGCCGGCCTTGACGCCAACGCCGAGTCTGCCGACGAGGGTGAGACGGTGGCGCGGCGGCTGCAAAAGTCGTTCTCCAACCCCAATCTCATCCACGACCGTCCGCTGGGCCTGCGGAGGTTCGGTTCGTACGCTTCGATTGGGTCCGATGGTGGCGAGGCGGTCGACGACGAGCCGCCGGATCACGTTCTCACCACCGCGGTGGTGCGGACTGTCCTGGTCGCGCCGTTTGCGTCGCTGGGCACGATGCTGCCGCACCACTTTCGGCGCGCCGAGTACCTGGCGGGCCTGCTGCTGGTCATGCTGCTCTTTCTTCTCATCGCGGTTCTGGTCGGCTTGCGGACAGACGAGCTCGACTCTTGGTCGCCGTCGAACATCTATCTGGTGGTCGCCGCTGGTATCTATGTGCTCCTCTACTTTGCGGCGCGGACGCCGCACTACTACTTGGCCGGCATCATAGCAGTCGTCCTTGCTACCGCCACCTTTTTCGTCGCCGTCGCCATGGCCGACGACTCGGCCTTCTCGGCCGAGTTCTTCCTTGCCCGCCTCTCCGCTCTTTACGTTGTCCACATTCTGGGATCGGTCATCATGTCGCTGCCGCTGTTTGGCGGCCTCGCGGTATTGACCTCGATTGCTCTCGCGGTCCTTCCAGCCATTCTCGACTTTACCTGGATCGACGTTCTTGTCCCGCTCCTGGTCACCGTCACACTGTACGCGGTTCTCTGCGCCAACTGGTACATTGCCCGCGAGGACATCAAGCAAATCCAGAGTGCTGGCACTCGGTACGGCAATCTCATCGGGGCCTCGTTCGAAGGCATCATCATCGCAGTCCCAGTCATCCCCCGCGCCGCCTGCCGGCCGCGCCGCGCACGCCGTCGGAGTGGACCATCCACACCGTCAACCCGGCCGCCGCAGACCTGCTCGGCTGCACCGAGGCCGACCTCGTCGGCTCCAACTTTATCGACCTCGCCGACGAGTCCATGAACGCCGAGGTGACTCTGGCGCTCAAGCACCCGCTTGGTCTCCCCACCCACGCTGTCTTCCGCGTCGCCAACGGCAAGCGCGTCCTCTTTGAGCTCCTTGTCAAGCCGTACTCGCTGGCCGGTGAGGGCGAGGCTCTCGCCATTGCTCTTCGCTCGGTCCGCTTCCGCATGACCGACGATGTCGGCCTTGTCGTTCCTCACCCCACTGCCGCCAACATCAATCCCATCGCCGATCCGCACCCGCCCGTCCGCCCGACGGCGTGAGCCCCAGCTTCCGAGTCGCCGAATCGATGATCACAGGTCCATGATCACAGGCCCAGAGACGTAAAGCAAGGCTGCTCCAGCTGAATTTGCGCTCTGGCGTCAGCCGCGCCTTCAATCGAGTCCCTCGGCTTGCCAGACGGCAGGTGCCGCTGAGGTGACTGTGGTCGGTCCCAACTTGTGCTGGCGCTCCCACCGAACCCGGAGCGGCCACCCGACTCCAATCCCCACCACCATGGCCATGTCCCCCAACGTAATGCAGGCCCAGCTGGAGCTGGAGGCCATGACAGACACTTTCAACCGGTAAGAGCCACAGTTTGGTCGTCCCCTCCTCCCCCGTGCGCCCATGCCCTCCCTGCGGGCGCACAAGGCCCTCGTCGTCGGACCAAGCCGGAGATGGGCGGGATGCCGCGCAGAGGGGGGAGGAAGCAGCGGCAGGAAAGGGGAAGGGGGTGGAGGAAGGGGGTGCAGACAGACAGGTAGATGAAGGGCAGATTGTGACTCACAGGTGGGGGGCGTGGGCGGATGCGGCGATAGGCTCTCCGAGCAGTGCTTCAAGAAGTGCATCGGACGGTACAACGAGTCTGGACTGACCGGGCCGAGACGGCGTGCGTCGATCGGTGCGTGGTCAAGTACATGAAGGTCATTGACATGGTGGGCACCCGCATGCAGGAGCAGCAGGCACAGGCAGAGGCCATGCAGTCGCAGCCGTCTTCGTTCTTCTGATGGCTGACCCCTGCCGGCAGTGCATCCGATCAAACCCCAACACACACACACACACACACACACACACACACACACACACACACACACACACATACATGCATACACACTCACATACATACACATACACACACACACACATAGCATTCCCCCCCTTTCCCCCGTCCACCCATCGCACCGATCGAGCGAGTGACATCAGGCCGAGTGACATCAGGCCAGCATGCGGTAAAGCCACCTCGCAAGCCATATGTTGGCGCCACCCACCACCGCACCCACCTCCACCGCACACACCCGATGAGCGACGGCCTCACGGTCGTCCCGGCTTCCTCCATCAATGGCTACGCCGCGGTGGCCTTCCGTGACGAGCAGGCCCGGGCAGCCGAGCCCGACAAGCTCTCGCTGGCGCGGACTGGGCTGACCACGCTGCCGGTGCTAGAGGGCGAGAGCCGGTTGCGGCTGCTCAACGCCCAGAACAACGCGCTGACTACGCTGGCCCATCTCGATGCCGTACCGGCGCTCATCTTTCTCGACGTCTACAACAATGCTCTGACCTCGCTGGCGGGCCTCGGCCCGGTGCGCTCGCTCCGTGTCCTCATGGCCGGCAAGAACAAGATCACTGCCGTCGACGGCGTCACTGCCGTCACCAAGCTAGACGTCCTGGATCTGCACTCAAACTGTCTGGTGGCCGACGCCCTGCGCCCGCTCGATGCCCTTGTCTCGCTCCGCGTCCTCAACCTCGCGGGCAACCGACTCACCTACGTCCCGCCACTTGACGCCCTCACCTCGCTCGTTGAGCTCAACGTCCGCCGAAACCGCATCACACACATCCATCCTCTCGCTGCCAACTCGAAGCTCCAGCGCGTCTTTCTCTCCCATAACTGCCTTGCCTCGGTCGACGCAGTGGCCTTTCTGAGCGACCTGCCTGTGCTCGACGAGCTCCATCTCGATGGCAACCCCTTTGCAGCTGGCTCTGTCCGCGCCGACTACCGTGCCTCTGTCGCCCGCCTCCTGCCGCGGCTTCAGCTTCTCGACGGGACGGATCTCGAGCCCGCGCCGCCGTCACCCAAAGCGCTCAGTCCTCAGCTGCCACTGGCATCGACCCCAAACGGCGAACCTCTCCGCGTTCCGGCCTTCTTCCTCACCCCCTCGCCCAGCCCATCGCCACCTGGCTCGCCAAGTGCCGCGGCAACCGACTCGGACACTGATGACGACGGCTCGGTTGCCGATATTGGCTCTCCTTTCAGCGGTACCCGCCGCATCCCGCGCATCCGCATCCCCACCGTGCCGATTCCCATGTCGCCGCCGCCTCCGGCCAGCACAGTTGCCGTTGTCATGCCGCTTGCTCCGCCTGGCTGCCCAGCCGAGGCACCACAGTCGCCCCCGCATTCGTCCCCGCGCCCTGCCGTGCCGCCCTTGCGTCCTGCTTTGGACTCGCCGGTGCAGGTCAAGGTGCGCAAGCGGGCCAAGACCGAGTGGCGCGGCGACACGCTGTACATTGTCGGCTCGACGACCGCGCCGCTCGACAAGGGCCTCGGCCGCGACAAAACCCGCGGGCTAGTGTTTGACAAGACGCCGATGGCGACCGTGGCGGCGTGCATGCCGCGGCTCCGCAAGGGCTATCCGATGCTGGAGCGGCTCACGCTGGTAAGCAACGGCGTGGCCCGCCTCGCAGACCTAGACTGTCTCGCGTCGCTGAGCCAACTCCGTGAGCTCGAGGTTTGCGAGTCTCCCGTGGTGGGCCTCTCGTTTTCCGTTTGTATACGGTATGGATCCTTCCGCACCTCACGGTTGTCAACGGCAAGCACGTTGGGACGCTCGAGCGGCATCGCGCCGAGCTGATCTTTGCGCCGGTTCTCGACGTCGTCGCCGCTGACCGCCGCAAGCTCGGGCTCCGCCTTGCACCGGCAATCGGGCGGGTGCGGCCCGTACCCAACATCAGCGCTGGTGCTGTGGCTGCTGGTTGCGTTGCCGCTCAACGCGCACTGGATAGTGCCGTGCGCCACGCCGAGCTAACCGAGGCCGTCGACCGCGAGTGGGGCGCCGCGGTGGAGCTGGCGCTTGCGCCTCTTTACCATCACTGAAAACAGCGGCCTACTGGCCAAGCGCGGCCATGAGCCGCTGGGAAGTAACAAGCTTGACGCCGGCATCGACAAGGTCAAGTTTGGCATCGTCGCCACCGGCCGGGGTGACCGGGCGGACGGCGTCGCTGACGACGTAAACGGTAAAGCCGAGGGCATGGGCGTCGAGCGCAGTGGCACGGACGCAGTAGTCGAGAGCGAGGCCGACAACAACAACCACATCCGAGTTGTGGGCGCGGAGGAGTTCCTCGAGCTCGGTCGGCGGGTGCGGCATCGGCGGCCCAAAGCCCGAATAGGCGTCGACTTGGACGTCGGTGCCCTTGCGGATGATGTAGTCGGACGAGGCGACGTTGAGCGCCGACGCCAGCCGAGCGCCCTGGGTGTTGGCCACGCAGTGATCGGGCCATGTTCCGTCGGCAGAGGCCGACTTGAACGAGACGTGGCCTTCCGGGTGCCAGTCCTGGGTGAGGACGACGGCGTCAAAGTCGATGGCCTCGCGCAGTGCGTTGATGACCGGAACCACGGCGTTGCCGTCAGGCACGCCCAGCGCGCCGCCGGGCAGAAAGTCGTTCTGCACATCAACAACAACCAGTGCCGGCCGCGACGCCGCCATCAAGCCGGGCTCCGGCGACGCCCGTGGCGGCGAGGCGTGCGGCTTAGTCACCACGTCGATGGTCCCGTCGGCCCGCAGATGCGTCTCGCGGATAAAGCCCTTGAGCACCTCGCCCGACCCGCCTCCGAGCCCGTTGCTGGAGGCCTCGCCGCCTCCCCCATCCGCCGCAGCACCCGCTGCAAGTCCCACTGAAGTGCCTGTGCTTGCGATGAACTCATCGCCCACCGCTACCCCATCGCCAGCCTCGTTGCAGCCTCCCGCCGTGCCCGTCCGGCCCAGCAGCTCGTCAACCAGATAGGCCATGGTGCCCGGCGCGTGCTCGACCACCTCGCCCATACCGTGTTCCTGAAAGTGGCTGGCTGACTTGGTAGAGTGAGGTGTAGGCAGGCTAGCCACCAGCCAACTACCTACCTGCTAAACTGGCTTTGCCTCTGGCCACAAGCCACCGGCCCCGTCGTCGCGCGCTCCTGCCTCGCCTCGCACCGGTCTGTCGCTCATTCGGCAGCCGACCAGCCGCCGCCGCCGACTTGGCGCCATGTCATGCACACAACCACCACCGCCATCACCAGCCACCCAACACAGCTCCCCCTTTTTCTCCCACTCACCATGGCATTCCTCGACCGTGCTTACCGACGCGCACAAACCGAGGGCAAGCTGATTCTGGCCGGCCGTGGTCTGGGCGAGCTCCCGCAAGAGGCGCTGGTCGTGGGCAGCCTGGTGCTCGACGACGTGCCGGGCTACGCTGTGGTCGATCTGCGGGTGGTCGACATCTCGGGCAACGAGCTGAGCTATCTTCCGCCGCAGCTGCTGGACTACGAGTTTCTGAAGGTCTTTGACGCCTCACGCAACGCGCTCGACGACGCCAGTGTGAGCGATCTGGTGGCGGCGGCCAACGCCCGCCCGCCGTGGCCGGCGCTCCTGCGACTCAATCTCGCCCACAACGCCCTCACGCTCGTCCCGCTCTACGGCTCGCCGTCAATCCGGGTCCTCGACGTCTCCCACAACGCCGTGACTATGGTCGATGGCCCGTGGCCGCGGCTCGTCGAGCTCCGCGCCAGCCACAATCGCATCGACACCCTCCTCGGCCTCTCGCACGTCGCCTGCCTGGAGATCCTTGACTGTGCCCACAACGCGCTGGCCGAGCTCCCCGATGAGCTGTTTGAGAGTGCGCCTTCTCTTCGCATAGTGGACCTCTCCCACAACCGGCTCACCGCGCTGCCCGAGGCCATCGGGTCCTCAGCCGCGCTGGCCGAGCTCCATCTCGTCCACAACGCATCGCTCTCGCAGCTACCGCGCTCGCTCCCAAGCTGCACCGCCTTGCACACGCTCGACATTTCCGAGTGCGCCTTTGCCGAGCTCCCTGTTCATGCCCTGCTTGGTCTGCCCGCCCTCAAGGTTGTCCGCGCTGTCGGCAACCGCATGCGCAGCGTCCCGGCGTCGGTGGCCGGCCTCGACGGACTCGTCACTCTTGACCTCGCATCCAACGAGCTTCGCTCACTCCCACCCGAGCTTGCGCTCTGCAGCTCGCTCACCCACCTTGGCGTCGAGGGCAACCCGTTCCGCGGCCTTCGCCGCTCGATTGTCGAAAAGGGCTCGCATGCCATCCTCGAGTACCTGCGGACCCGGCTTCCAGAAGAGCTGCTGGCCGGCAGCGCAAGCTCCGGTCTCGCCACGTCGCTTGTTCCGGCCGGAGATGGCAGCCTTGATCTCTCGAGCCAGGGCCTCGACGAGCTGCCGGCCTCGTTTGGCGGCCTTGTCACCAGCCTCACGGCCGATGACAACGGGCTTCGCAGCTTGCCGCTCGAGTTTGCGCCAGACGTATGCTACTCGCTCGAGGCGCTGAGCCTTGCGCGTAACAAGCTAGAACTTGTGCCAGAGTCCCTGCTCCCACCGCTGGCGTCACTCTCACTGCTCAATCTTGCGCACAATGGACTTCGCGCGCCGCCGCGCTCGCTCGCCGCTCTCGCCGGAAGCCTCACTAGCCTGGACCTCTCGTTCAATCGAGGCATGGCACTTCAGTTTGCGCTCAACGAGCTGTACTCGCTGCAGCGAGTTGTTCTCTCCGGCTGCAAGCTGAGGTCCTGGCCGTTTGCCACCGACGATCCGTTCCCGGCGCCTCTCGTCGACCTCGTCCTCGACTCGAACGCGTTCGACTTTATTCCGCCGCCGACCCACATCGACGACTGCGCACTCTCGACGCTCGACGTCCGCAACAACGAACTTTGCGAACTTCCACCCGATCTCGGCTTCTTCCCGGTCCTATCTGCACTCATGTTTGACGGCAACCCGTCGCGCCGACTGATGCGCGTCGCCCTCAAAGGCACCTCTGCCCTTAAGAAGCACCTCCGCCTCGTCGCCGGTGCCGACGAGTAAGCGCGATCTCGACGCAAGCACAACAGTCTACACCCTTTGATCAGCCACAAGCTAGTAAACCGGTTCTAGCCTCCCCCCCCTTGCGCCGCCCAAACGACGCGGCGAGCGCATCCCACGTCTCCACAGCCTCGGGGGGTTCAGCTGGGGTCAGAGCCACGCGTCACACTTTACGCTCCCGCGGAACAACAAGCACAGCAGCACGAGCATGTTACGTGTGGCACAGTGGCTGGCATGTAGCCGTGTGACTGGAGCAGGCGTGCGGGTGCGGCAGTCCGTACGGACGGCGGCTGCGGCGAGGAGCGCGGACGAGGCCACGATGTGGCGACGGGCGAGCTCGACCACGGCAGACGGAATGGACATGGTATTCCTGGGCACCTCGTCGCAGCCGACATCATCGCGATACACGTCTGCTACTGCTGTCCGCCTGCCGTGTGGATCGTATGTGCTGTTTGACGTCGGCGAGGGCACGCAGCGGCGGCTGATGGCGGGCCAGTGCGCGGTGAAGCCATCGCGGATCGCTGCGGTGGCGGTGACCCATCTGCACGGAGATCATGTGTTTGGCCTTCCTGGCCTGGTATGCGCGGTGCTGAACGCAGGTGGTGGCCCGCTGCATGTCTACGGGCCGCTCGGCATCCGTGCCTTCCTCCGCACCTCGCTGGCCACGACGTACTCGTTCTCGCGCGGCCTGTTCGTCCACGAGATGCGCCCGGCGCCGCCGCCGTTGCTTGCTCCGGCTGAGTCTTCGCTGCTTGCCGAGGACGTGCCGCCGGATGCCACACACACGTTTGCCGACATGTACATTGGTGGATCGACGGTGGTCCGGGGCTACACGCCTGGCGACAAGAACCTCTACTACGCTCCGCCCGACGAGGCCTCGCCTGAGGCACTGGCCACGCCGCACTGGATGCTCCCGCTGGAGCTGCCGTCGGCGGCGGGCGCGAGCGGACCAGCGGTCACCCTCCACGCCGCGGTCATCGAGCACGTCCCGCACGTCCTCACTGTGGGGTATGTGCTGGAGGAGGCGCCACGCCCTGGGTCGCTCGACGTGGACAAGCTAAAGGCGACGCCGGGCGTCGGCAGGCTTGGTGCGTGGTGCAAGTCGCTTGTCGGCGGAGTCGACGTCACCCTGAGCAACGGCACCCATCTGCGATCGGAAGACTACGTCTCGCCGGCCCGGCCCGGACGCAAGATCGTGGTGCTCGGCGATACATGTGACCCGTCAGGTATTGCGCCACTCGCCACCAACGCTGACGTCCTGGTTCATGAGGCGTCACTGCGGAGCGCAGACCGGGTCAAGGCCGTCGACCGCGGCCACTCGACGACGTGCATGGCCGGCGAGTTCGCCGCCTCGGTCTCGGCCGGCCACCTCGTCCTCAACCACCTCTCGCCCAAGTACATCGGCTCGGGCGACTCGGCCGCCGACACTGCCGCTGCCGCCGCCATCCGCGCCGAGGCTGTGGCAGCCTTTGGCTCACCAGCCGTCACCGTTGCCCAGGACTTTCTCACCGTCTCTGTCCTGCCCTCGACTCGATCGCGGCCTGCTCCGCAAGTGGTCGTCGATCCGCGCCCCGACCACGCATCCACCGAATGACACTCCGGGCCCTCTTATCCTATCGCGAGTCATAAACCGTATCCCGCACCGCGCCTTTGCTGACCTTTGCTGCCCGTGCTCGCCACCCTATAAATCCGCTGCTGTCTCCTGCCTAGTGCCTGCTTTGGCCTGCCCCTCCGGCCAAGTCGCCCACAGCTACCTCTCGACTCCGCCACCATCCCCCACCGCTCTCACCACCACTACCACCACCACCACCCCACCACTCCAACGCTCTCCACAATGATGGCAGCGGGAGGAGCCGCGTCGCGCAAGCGGGCCCGGTCGCCAAGTCGTGGTGGAGGTCCGAGCAAGCGGACGCATGGCCTCGGCGACGAGCGGCACGGCCTGGGCCTCGGCGCGCCGCTGGGCAGCAACGCCGGCGGAGGCGTCCGGAACGATGGAGTGGTCATGCAATGCTTCCACTGCCGCGCCTTTCAGTGGGTTCCTGCCGCCCGTGCTGCTGACCTCTCGCCCGTCTGGCACTGCTTCATGAACACCTCCTCCGAAGGCGCCGACGAGCTGTGCATCGGGCCGGTCCCCCACGTCGCCCCGCGTCCGCTGCCGTCCTCAAACCCAATGCCGGGCCTTGCCCCAGGCCCGTCCGAAGGCGCCACTACTCTCCCCGCCCTGCGCCCGCTCGCCCGCCACACCGTTCTCGCTCCCGATCCAGGCGCGGCAACAGTCCCGGTCGCACAGCCAGTACCAGTGCCAGAACCGGAACCAGAGCCGGAGAAGGTGGTGGCGGCGACAACGGCAGCGACACAAGCCGAGTCGGCCGAGATTGCGATGGCGCTCGGATCGTCGAATGTGGCCATGGCGCCCGGCAGGAGCAAGGACCAGGTCGCGCGAACGACGCAGCTGATGGCCACGATCCAGGAGCGGCGCGAGAGTGCTGGCCTCCGGCGCGACCGCCCGCGATTGCGGCGGCCGCTGCCCACGGTTGACTTTACCGGCTTCCGTCTGCAGAACGGATACCAGCTGGCGGCGCGAATCGACAAGCATGCCGGGACGCACCCACTCTACGAGGGCATGCACTACTGGCGGATCGAGGCGCAGCGGCGGTCGCTGGTCAACGCCTGGCTGTGGGAGGATGAGGTCACTGAGATCGGCATCAAGTTCTGCACTGGCGAGTGGACCGTGGCCACGCTCGCCACCGCTCGCTCAAAGCGGGCCCAGCGGCCGTCGCGGGCCTCAATCTCGCGCTCCGGCGCCCGGATCCCACGCTCGCCCGCCCGCTTCCGCAACGGGCATGGCCTGGACGATCCCTCCTCCGCTGTCCGCATCGGCTCGCAGCTGCGCCGTCGCGCCTTGCCGGTCGTCTCACCCGCCACCGCTCCAATGGCAGGCCTCGCCTTTCTCCGTGCAGTCCGCCTCTTCCTCAAAGCGCCGTCGTACGCCACTCGCCACCAACCGGTGGCGCTCGCCGAAGTTGTGGCCGGCCTCCCCGCTCGCCCAGGCCTTCTTGACTCGCTTCCCCCGGCCGTCGTCGATGCTGTCTTTGCCGGCGCCGTCGCCGACCTCGCCCATCTCGCTATCTGGTCGCAGGGCGAGCCAGTCCCGAACATCCACGTCTTCCACGCCCGCGGCGTCCCCTACGTCGCCCGCGTCGCCTGGACCTCTCGCTCCTAGCCTGCCGCAGTGGCCAAAGACTCTGCTCTGTAGCCGGTCGTGGTGCCTCATCGCCGCGCGCCCCCATCTGATGTTGTTGAACGTGAGAGAGCCTGCCCCGGCCGGTTCTGCCGCAGTGCCCGATTTGGCAGACACACTGTCCCACCGCCCAGCTCTTCGTGCCAGTCCCAGGCTCGCCACACCTCGCTCCCCTCGCTCCGCAACACCATGTCGGACAGCGTCATGCTGCGAATGACCTTCCCGCACTACTTTGTGGACGAGGAGGCCCGCCAGCTTGCCGAGGCGTCAGGGACGCAGCCACTCCAGCCGCTGAGGTCCGAGCGCTCTTGGGCCGGCTCGCGCGGAGCGTATCTCACCCCGCGTGGGCCACCAGAGGCCAGCATTGGGCCCGAGTCTGGCCGAGCGCGAGGAGCTGGCAGTGGAACCGCAGCAGGCGACAATTCGCTTCACGCGCCAAAGGCCAAGGGTGCCAAGGTGCGCACGCGCTCGCGAAAGAGCAGGGCGGCGGCTCAGGCGCCGGCAGGATCGACTGCAGTCGCCCATCTGGAGACTGGCGCCGGCGATGACGATGATGACGACTGGTGGGACGAGTCGCGGCGCGATGACGACTTTGAGTATACGTACTACACCGAGTACGGCGACGAGAGTGAGGCCGAGGAGCAGGCTGAAGAGTCTGAGCGCGGGGCAAAGGGGAAGCCGGTGGTGCCGGCGATCGGCATGGCCGGTCTAGCGCTGCCGATGTCGTCGTCGCAAGCCTTTCTGACGCCTGCGGCGTCAAACGCCAACACGCCGCGGTCGGCCAACGGGACGTCGAGCTCGTGGCCGCACCCAGACGAGTCTGCACCTTGGGTCATCAACGTCCGGCAAGAGGTGGAAGACGCTCTCTTGGCGCTCAATGTGCAAAACGCGCACTGGACGCCTGGTTTCTCGTTTGCCGTGACCGGAGAGTCAATCGAGACGTACTGTGTCACGTTTCCGGTTCTCGGCGGCAAGGTCGAGCCGCTGCTGCAGCGGCTGATCCAGGTCGGCATCGGTGTGACTTTTGGCGACCTCTCGCTCGTGCCGCTAGAGCTGACCAAGCCGATCAACATGGTGGAGGCGACAGAGCAGATCGGGATCCAGGGCGAGTTTGCCAAGCAGATCATGGCCGAGCTGGTCATCCAGCAGGTTGTGGACGACACCAAGCGGGCAGCCGAGTTTTCGTTTGACTACGTCACCCTCTGCGTCGTTGCCTCGCTCCTGGCCGGAGTCGGCCTCGCCACCGACAACGTCGTGGTGGTTGTAGCGTCAATGCTAGTCTCGCCGATCATGGGCCCGATCATGGAGCTCACGTTTGGCACCATCATTCGCGACTGGAAGCTCTCGTGGCAGGGACTATGGAAGGAGCTTGTGGGCCTCGCCATCTGCTTTGTGGTGGGCGGGCTTGTGGGCCTGGGTTTTGCAGCGTGGGGCGACGATCTCGACTGGCCCAACTCGGAGATGAGCTCGCGCGGAACCGGGGTCGGCCTCCTCATCGGCATTGCCATTGCGGTGCCGTCCGGCGTCGGCGTGGCGCTCTCCACCATTTCGCAGAACACCAATTCGCTGGTCGGCGTTGCCATTTCGGCCTCGCTCCTCCCGCCTGCGGTCAATGCCGGACTCAACTTTTGTTACGCGGTAGTCGGGCAGACCTTTACCGGCTCGACGGTGGACGAGGTGCGGCACATGCGGATCGGGTCGCTCTCGTTTGCACTCACCCTCATCAACATTGTCTGCGTTTACTTTGCGGCCATCTTAATGTTCTGGATCAAGGAGGTGTCCAAGATTCCGGGCAAGACTGCGTTCTGGCGACACTACGTGCCAGCCTTTCGCAAGCACCGCGAGTCCGATGCGGTCATGGGCCTCGACGCCGACGCAGCAAAACGATTCCAGTCCGAATTCCAGACGCTCCTGGCAGCGTTGTCGAACCCGGACATTGGCGACGAGACGATTGTCAAGGTCGATGGCCAGGACCGTACGGTGGGCGAGCTCCGCCACGAGTACGCAGACCTCATCGAGTTCCTGCCTGTGGCGGCAGCGTCGGCCACAATGCGGACCCAGCGCGGGCCTGTGTTCTCGCCGATGCGGACGCTCAAGACCGGGACCAATCCGTCGGGCCTCATGGCGTACAACACGGTGATGCGGTCGCGCAATGCGTCGGTCCCAACGTGGGCCCAGTTTGAGTAGCGCCCCGAGCTCAGAGGCCGAGCGCCCCGAGCGCTGTCGTACCGTCACACTTGGGCAGAACCTTTGCGATGCGCGAGCCAAACTGAATGGCACGCTTGGGCGCGGCAGCGGCGGCGCCAAGCTCGAGCTGGGCCGCGAGGGCACGGAGCAGGTGCTTGTCGCCGACGCCGCGCTCGCGGCTCGGATCGGTCCGCCACGCCAGCGGGAGGCTGGTGAGAAAGGCGACAACGTCCTCGTCAAGAAACGGGAGACGGAGCTCGCAGCCGTGGGCGGCCACAACTCTGTCGTCGCGGCCAAGGTTGCGGCGCCATAGCCGGGCAAAGTCGAGTGCGAGCTCTGCAGAGAGCGCCGACCATCCGCCACGGGTCCAGCGAGCGCGATGCCGAGTGTAGCCACCAAGCAACTCATCGGCGCCGAGGCCGGTGAGGAGGACACGTGCCGGGGCGAGTGGCGCCGTGGCGTCTGCACGCCTTTCCAGACTCGAGGCAAAGTAAAGTGCTGCGCCGATGGAGAGGTCCATGGCGGTGGCGGCGGGCGCGACAGTCTCGGCAATGGCTGGGGTGGCGGCGGTGAGGTCGGCGGCGCGGACATTGACGGGGACCCAAATCCATGTCCGATCGGGGGCGTAGTGCTCGACAAGGTGGGCGGCGCTAGCAGTACCAGTCATCCTGTCGGGCGTGTTGAACGCGTCCTCGGGCGCGGCGTCCTTGGCAAAGGCCACGTTGATGAGCTCGATGGCAGTGTGCGGCGGGAGAACGGCGTGGGCAAGGGCGGCGACAACCATAGAATCGAGTCCACCCGAGAAGAGAATACCGACCGAAGCCGCGTCACGGACATTGACGACTCGGCGGGCGACGGCTTCGGTGAGCAGCGCGCCGAGGCTCTCGACAGCAGGAAGCAGATCGGACGCTGCAACGACAACCGGCTCACAATCTGGCTCGGCGGCGGCGGCGGCGGGTGGCGGGAGGAGATCCAGAAGCTCCATAGCCGGGAGGCCGGGGACGGGATGAAACTCCGCCAGAACTGGCTCGCTCAGACGGCCAGCATCCGGATCCCAGCTCGCGCCGTAGACGCCAGCAGGGAAGACGGGCGACCAGTCGAGAGCCGGAGACGACGGGTCGGGCTCACAGAGGCAGGCGACCGAGGCGACGGCGGCAAGCTCGCCGTCACCCGATCTCGCCTCGAGCAGCGAGCGGCGGCCAAAGCGATCGCGGGCCCAGAGGAGAGTCGAGAGCGCCGGGAGCCAGACGACGAGTGCCCACTCGCCGACATCGACGGCAGCAGCGAGGGCATGGCGGAGGGCGGCGGCGGCGGCGGCGGGCGTGGGTGGGTTTGCGACGGACAAGGCGTCAAAGACGGCAGCGGCGAGCGCCGCCGAGTCGCACACCTCAGAGTCGCGGTAGGAGAGCAAGGCGCCGTCGTAGAGCTCGCCGTTGAAGGCCATGACAACGCCCGAGTCCTCGTCGTGCAGCGGCTGGGCGGTGAACGGGGCACGGAGCGAGAGGACCGAGGCGGTGAGGACGAGGCCCGGGGCGAGGACGGCCGACGTAGTGCTGTCTGGCCCGCGGGCGGCCACTCGGGAGAGGAGGCACGGGTGGGCGTCGCCGGCGCGTGGGGCGGCGATGACTGCGATGCCGCACATGAGGAGGGGAGAGGGGGGGGGGGGGGTTGAGTGTGTGTTTGATGGGTGACGGCGGTGTGAGACAATCAGCGCTTGCCGCTCTTGTTGGGCAGCAAAACGGCGTGGATACTGGGTAGAACGCCGCCAGATGAGATGATCGAGTTGCGGAAGAGTCTCTCGAGCTCCTCATCGTTGCGGATGGCGAGCTGGATGTGGCGCGGATTGATGCGGGCGCGGCGGTTGTCGCGGGCGGCGTTGCCGCTGAGCTCGAGGATCTCGGCAACAATGTACTCGGTGACAGCAGTGATGCAAACAACGGTGCCATCAGCAAAGCGCGGTGGAGACATGGCTAATGTGAGGAGGAAGCGCTTGATGGTGCGCTTGGCAAAGACGAGGCCGTCAAACGAGCCGGTATCGAGCCGCTTTGTGGTGTTGGTGTCCTGGCTCAGGGCAGCCTGGGCCTTGGTCAGGGCGTGATTGGCCTCGGACTTGGCGTGCTTGGCCAGTTCGCCTTGCAGGACGAGGCTGGCAGCGGTGACGGCGTCTGCCGGCTCAAAGTGTGCGCGGAACGAGGCCTTGGCCAGCTGGACCATGACCGGGTACATGCGGCGGAGGAAGTCGTTGACGATGTCCGATACAACAGCCATGGCTTTGCGCGACATTCCCATGTCAGGGTGGACCTGCTTGAGCACCTTGTAGACGTTGGGGCCCCAGAGTGTGGGCGTGATCACCATCTGCGCCACGCCCACCGACGCCGCCAGACGGGCGTTGCTCGCCATGTCTTGGAGGACATTAGCCTGGTGCACGCCATCGGGCGCTCCAGGCACGGGCGACATGAACATCTCCAACTTGGCCGCCTCCTCCGGCGACAGTTTCTCATCATCCGACACTGATTCGTCGTCCTGAGGAAGTAGGGGGGGAGAGGTGAGGGATGGGGGGGGGGGGGGGCGTACGCGGATGTCATCGCCGTCCGGCTCATTGTTCTTTCCTTTTGCTGACGCTGACAGCATTGGTAGAGGTCGAGGCGCGGGGTGGGGTGTGGTCGGGTGTGGTCGGGTGTGGTGGGGGGTGCGGTGCGGTGCGGGCAAGGTAGGCCAGAGGCTGGCTGCCTGGCTGGTTGCCTGGCTGATTGCCTGGCTAGCTGGGTGGCCGGCGGTCGGTCGGTCGGTCAGTCGGTCGGTCGGCGGCGGTCGGCCAGTCGGTCGGTCGGCGGTCGGCCAGTCGGTCGGTCGGCGGCTGCGGGTGGCGACAGCCTATGGCCATCGGTTGGTGGAATTGGGGGGCGTTCGCCAGAGCAGTAGCAGCAAGGCCGGGCATGCTAGTGGGACGACGGGAGGGCGTCAGGCGTATCCGAGAGCACAAACAGCAGGGGATGTACGGCAGGGTTCGAGGGAGCGAGTCGGTGAGGATGTACGGGTGGCGATGCTTGCGCTGTAGCGGCAGGAGGCTGACTGATGTGGCGGGGCGGGTGGGGAGGGCGCGGAGGGCTGCGAGCGATAAGCCGTCGCCGACAAGCCGTCTTTGCGTAGCGTGGGAGAGGAGGGGCAAGCACACTCGACTTGGCGCGCAGCACAAGGTAGGCAGGAGGCGGGGATAGTGGCGCAAGGAGCGCGATGTGTGGGCATGGGAGGCGCGGCCTGGCGCGATGGGCCATAGCCGGCGGCTGCGCCCCATGGCTGGCCACCCTGCCCGGTGAGTCGCCGATGGGCCGAGGAGACTCGCCGAGGTTGGGCGGCGCTGGCGCTGGGACGGGACGGTGGAGGCGGCGGCATAAGGGGCGCATGCGCTGCGGGAGCAGGACATCGAGGGCCATCGGGATACAGTCAGTGGTTGTGCATGGCGTGGTCGGCGGCATCGGGCTCGGGCGCAGAGCCCTGCAGCGTCCGGGGACCAGGAGCGCAGCGGGACGGGATGGCATTTTTTTGACGGTGGGAGGGAGCGAGGGGAGGGGGGGGGGGGAAGGGAAGGCGGACGGCGCGATGTGGCGGCGATGGCAGGCGGGCGAAGACTCACGTGACAGAGTGGGGACGGATGGGAGCAGGAGGCATGGCGGACTCAAAGGCATCGTCGCGGCGGAGCAAGGGCGCCGAGCCGACGCCCATGGACACGGGGGCGGCACCGGCGACGGCAGCCCGCAAGTCGTTTATGACGGCCGGCACGTCCGCGGCCCTCCCGCGACCAACCCGAGGCAGCCGGGGCAGGGGCAGGTAGCGGCGGCGACGTGGGTGGCGGGGTGAGCGGAGCTCTGCCGGCGGCGGCGACGGTGGCGACGTCGACGCCGACGCTCATCAACTACGACCTGTGCTGTGCCTGCGGCGCTGGCGGCGACCTCATCTGCTGCGACTCGTGCCCAAACTCGTTCCATCTCGATTGTTTGGAGCCTGCGCTCGAAAAGGTGCCTGCCGGCTCGTGGTACTGCAACGCGTGCTACACGACCAAGCATGCGCCGCCGCACGGAGTTGCGGCCATGTCCAACAAGTTCTTTGGCAAGCTCATCGACTCGCTGACTCGCGACAACCCGCAGGTCTTCCACTTGCCACCGTCGATCCTGTCGCGCAAGCGGAAGCGCGGCTTCTCGTACGGGACCAAGGTGACCCGCGTTCTCGGCGCGGCCGGCCGCCCGCTGGCTCCGGCCGCCGCTCGCAGTGTCCTCGACCTGCCGGCCAGGCAGGTCAACGCGACGGCGAATCAGCTGGAAAAGGCTGGGCTCTCGGTCATCGAGCGGTCGGCGCTCGCGCCGCGGAGTGAGGTGCGGAGCGGAAAGAAGAGCGCTGGAGGCGCGGGAGCGGGTTCCGAGGCCGGCGCCAACGGGGCCGCTGCTGCGGGGATTGTGCCGGACGACAGCGACGCGCTCAACGTCTCGTGGTGCTGCAAGTGCTCTGCGGCGGGCGGGCCGCTCCTGCCGTGCGACCTCTGCTGCCGGTCGTTCCACCCCGAGTGCGTCGGCCTGGAGCGCGGAGCGCGGGTCTCGGACTCGTGGGTCTGTCCGAACCACAATGACCTTGATGTGTACGCGGCTCGGGTCCGCGAGTTTGTGCTCAAGAAGCAAAAGACAGCGGCGAGTGCCGGGAGCGACGACGGAGCGCACGGCTTTGTTGACGACGAGCCGGTCACGCTTGACTTTGGCCTCAGCAGCGCCAAAGAGGCGAGTGCGGCGCCGCGCCGCGTGAGCGGGCGGACGGCGCGGGTGACTGTGCCGGGCATCACGCCGTTTGCGACGGGCGCCACGCCGTCGGTGGCCGAGCAGAACGAGTGGGTAGCGGCTCTGGAGAGCATGCGCTCCTCGGTGGCCGAGGCCGTGGAGGCGTCGCAGGCCAGCGCAGCCGGCGAAGCGGTCGCCATGGAAACCGACTCGCTGCAGACCAAGATGGTGGGCCTGATGCAGGAACAGATGGCTATGTACCGGGCGGCAATGGGCGAGCCGGCGCCGCCGGCGGGCGCCGCCCTCGAGGGTCGGCCAGTCTCGGCGCTCGCGCTGCAGCGGGTTCTCTCGGCTGAGTTTGTCGAGTTTCTGGCCTGGCAGCGGCTCAACCAGCTGACCGCTCGGGTCCACGAGGTCCAGGCCGAGCTGCTCCAGGCCGGCGAGGTGCCTGTCGAGCTGGCGACGGCGGCCGCAGGCGCGGCAGCCGGCCACCCGCTGCGGGCGCCGGCTGTCGAGTATGACGAGCCGGTGGCGTTCCTCGCCACAGACGTGGTTACGCTCCCGCTCACCGGAAACTCGGTCGTGGTGGGGCGGGCTGCCCCAGGCTCGAGCGCTGCGCCCGACCTGGACCTCTCCTTCCTCAACGGTTCGTCGTCGGTCTCGCGCAAGCACGCGGCCATTGTCCAGAGCAAGGATGGCTTTACTCTCCTCAACTACGCCAAGGGTGGCACCCGCGTCAACGGCGTTCTTGTCGCCGACGAGCCGATCGCCCTCGCCTCCAACGACGTCGTCTCTTTTGGCAAGCTCGAGTTCCGCTTCCGCGTCGCCGGCGCGCACGCCGGCCAGGCATAACACTCCCTGGCTCCCTATCGCAGCTATGACTTGGCCTTGCCGCCATCCGCCGGCCACGCAAGGTAGAACCCGATGGCCGATGAGAGCGTGCCGGTAAACGAGGCAAAGCGGAGCGAGGGCGAGAGCGGGCCGCCCCAACCGAGCGCGTTGAGCGGAATCGGCGCGTCGCACACGTCCTTGGCGAGGCCGAGGCCGACCTTGCGGATAGCCGCCTCGGCCTTGGTCGCCTTGGCCGCCAGCACCGCGTTGTCCGGATTCGACACCGAAATGGCCCGCGTCGCCGCGTTGTACGCCGCCACCGCAGCAGAGAGCTTGTACAGACCGGCAATCATGGAGCAGACGAGGCCGAGGGTCCAGAACTTGTACGCGCGCGCGACCTTGGCCTTGAGCGCAGGATCGGCAGCAAAACCCGACTTGACCAGGAAGACCCAGTTGTCGTACATGAGGTAGACCCCGTAGCCGAGCGCCCGCAGCGTCGCCGCGATGCGCAGGACAGGGTCGGCCACGTCCGTAGCGTCGCGCACAGCCTTGTACATGTCCAGCGACTTGAAGAGGCGGAAGCCCTTGCGCGCCATCGACAGCGCAGACGCAAGCCCGCCCAGCTCCGCACCCGTCATGCCCAGGACCGGGCCATCGGCGGCAAAGGTGGCCAGCCACTTGGCAAAGTACTGCACCACTCGGCAGAGCTTGTCGCGTCCGCCCAGCGAGCCGAGAAAGGCCACCGTCTTGTCCACGTCAAGCACAGCCTCCAACCCGGCGCCCTTGGGCAGGAGCGAGCCTCCATTGAGGAGAAACAGCGTGTTGGTCCCGGCCATGTGCCTTCTGGGGGAGGAGCGGTGGCAGTGTGCGTAAGCAGTGGGGAGGGGCTGGGTGCCGAGGTGTGGTGAGGGAGAGGGGGGGGTTCGGTGGTTGGGCGGCGGAGACGGGATCGGGTGCCACGGGCGACGGACTTAGTCACAAAGGCGGAAGACTCCCCCCCCTCTCCCCTTGCGCGTCATTCGGCCGGGAGGGTCACCGCCACCGTCACCGCCACCATCTCCACACACAGCCATACACTCGCCTCCATTCTTCCGAACTTACTTCCGCATTTCCACCAGATATCCGCCCCTCCCCCCCCCCCCTCCCCCTCTTCCTCCCCTAACCCTCTCTTATCAGCATGCCCGGCCCGTCGGAAACGCCGGGCAGGTGCCGCGAGCGGGTCGGCATGGCGACGGTGACGGAGGCAGAGGTGGCTGCATGCGCAGCGTGTGATGTTGCGCTTCCTGTACAGCCACCGCCGCCGTCGTTCTGCCCGCGTCATGCCGCTTTCTGCGCCGCTTGCCTCCCCATCGCCCTCGCCGCCAAGCTTCCGCCGCCGTCGGTTCTGGCCGGCCTCGCCGCGCCGCCGCCGGTCACCTGTCTGGCTGTGGACCAGGAGACGGGCGCGCTCTGCGCCACGGTCTGCCCACCGGCAGCCGCGCCGGGCTTTCTCCCGCCGCGGATCGCTGCGGCCTACGCCCGCGCGCTCGCCCGCCGTGAGCTGGCTTCCGCTGCGGGGCAGCTTGTCGCTGCTCCGCGCTCCGAGGCCCTCGTCGAGTGCCGCCAGGCCCGTTGCCGCGCCGCCTGGATCGTCGCCGTTCCCGATGCTGGGATAGGCGCCGGCGCCGTCGAGTGCCGGACGCCGTGTCCCGGTTGCGCCGTCGACATCACCGTGGTGCGCAACGAGTCGGATGGCCCGCTCCACCAGGACGTGCCCGCCATCGCCGCGCCATCGCTTGTTGCCGCCGCCCACAACGTCGCCTCGCGCCTCTGGCTCTGGCTCTTTACCCGCCCGTGTCCGCAATGCGGCATTGCACTCTCGCGCGCTGCAGGCTGCCGCTACATCGCCTGCACCCAGTGCCGCTGCGAGGTCTGCTTCGCCTGCGGCCAAGAGTTCCACGCCGTCAAGACCACGTGGTGCTGGCAGGGCCTCGACACGCCCTGGCATGCCTGGATCCGGAGCCAGGTCCAGCAAGCTGTTACTGTCGTCGCTTTTCACGCCCTCCTTGCTGCTTGCCTCACCGTCGGCGCCCAGCTTGCGCCCATGGTCCCGGTTCCAGCTATCGCTCTTCCGCGCCTCTCTGCCGTCACGCCTTTCCAAGCCCTCCCCGCCCTTCCGGCGCTACCGGCTTGGTTCACCCTCCCGCACATTCCGGTCGTCACACCAGCCGTCCGCACCGTCGCCGGCGCGCTGATCCGGCTCTTGGTTCGCGCTGCGCATGCCTCCGCCGCCGCCGCCCGCTCCGTTGCCTACATCATCACCCTGCCGTCGGCACTCCTCATCGCAGCCTTTCGCCGGATGATCTCCTCGACCGCCGCCGTTGTTGTCTCGTGCCGGCCAGTCCACGCCCTTGTCCGCGCTGTCCTCCCGCCGGTCATCTAACCTCCATCCGCCGCTCTCGGCGCGAGTTCTGGGACATTCGGCAGCGGCGCCGGGCAGGTGGCCCAAAGTCCGGCTCCCACCCACCACCCCCGCAGCCACAGCTCTCTTCACCCCGTTACCCCTTCTACGGAAGACCCACACGTATGCTAAACCCCCACCTGTATATTCTCCTTTCCCACCCCCACCCACCCCCCGGCAACCACACTCACCCCTTCCCCCCCGTTCCCCCTTCCTCCGCGAATGATCGAACGACGGCGGCGTTTTGGCGCCAATCAACCCAGGCCATGGAGGTCGCGACGCCCGAGTCGGTGAGGAAGCTCAAGAAGCGGCTTTTCATGAACGAGTCGCTGATGTCAGAGAGCGGTGAAGACAGAGATGAGGTGCAGGAGGCTGCTGGTGTGGATGATGATGCCCCGCCCGCAGACGAGGCCAAGGGCAGCGCGTCGGCAGGAGCCCGGGCGGTGAGGACCGACTCGGCGCTGGAAAAGGTCAAGGTGTACCTGCGGATCCGCCCGCTGCGTAAGGAGGAGCACGGCGGGATGGGCGCAACGCCATGCCTGGCGCAAGCGTCGTCGCAGCAAGTTGCTGTCGTTCCGCCGCCGGCGTCGCAGGCGTTCAAATCCAAGGGCGAGCGACAGGGACGGTACATCTTCACCAAGGTCTTTGGGCCTGAGACCGACCAGAAGACCATGTTTGACCAGACAACACTCCCGCTCATCGAATCGTTTCTCTGGGGCTGCAACGGCCTTCTCTTTGCCTACGGCATGACTGGCGCTGGCAAGACCCACACCATGGAGGGATCCAGGGCCGAGGCAGGGATCATCCCGCGGACGCTCGACGTCATCTTCAACTCGATCGACGGTCGTCAGTGCCTGACCAACGTTGTCCCGCACGAGTTTGGCTCACAGCGCAGGAAGGAAGGACCCCGGTCGAGTGCAGCACCACGGGTGGCCGACCGGTCGGCGCTCCCGATCAACGACAACTGCTCGTACAGGGTCTTTCTCACCTACACCGAGATCTACTGCGAGCTGATGTACGACCTGCTCGCGCCGATGCCCGAGCCGGTCAATGGGCGGCCGCCAAAGCGCGAGGTCCTCAAGTTCCGCACCTCGCGTGATGGCATGCTCCGCACCCAGGCCGCACGCGAGGTCCAAGTCTGCTCGTGGGAGGAGGCCGCCGCGGTGCTCGCGGCCGGACAGGCGAACCGGCAGACAGCAGCAACGGTGCTCAACGTCGAGTCGTCGCGGTCGCATGCAGTCCTCTGCATCCGTCTCGAAGTAATTCCGCTCGACGGCGACGACGAGCCGTACCTCGATGAGCCTGAGCTTCTGGTCTCCAACTACCTCTCGTTCATCGATCTGGCCGGTTCAGAAAGGTACGCAAAGACGCAGGCGTCAGGTACGCGGCTGAAGGAAGCGTCAAACATCAACACGTCGCTGATGACGCTCGGCAAGTGCCTCGAGACGCTGCGGTGGAACCAGCATCATCCGCGGGCCAAGCCGCGGGTTGTCCCGTTCCGCGAGTCGAAGCTCACGCGGCTCTTCCGCGACTACTACTGCAAAGACGGCAAGGTGGTCATGCTTGTCAACGTCTCGCCGGCGGCAGATCACTTTGACGAGACTGCGCACGTGCTCAAGTTCTCGGCCATTGCCCGCGACATCACGACCGTCGCCGCCAAGTCGAAGATCGACACCGGGCGGACTCGGGTCGTCAACCGTGCCAAGGCCAAAGCCAAGGCCGAAATGATTGCCATGGCTCAGGCCAAGGCCAAGGCTGTCGCCCAAGCCAACGCTCTGGCGGCCGCCATTGCCCAAGCTCGCCTCGAGTCGCCCGCGCTGTTTGCGGCCTCGCCGGTCCTGGCCAAGGTCCTCGATGAGAATATCGAGCTCTCGGGAGGCGTTTCGCCAGCAACAGAAGCAAGCACGAGTATGGCGCACTCGGAGTTTGCCACCTCGCTGCTCTCAATTTCGGTTTCGGACTCGGACGACGAGCACGAGGCAAGCTGCCTCTCGTCGAGCATGAGCGGAGTCGACGAGGAGCAAGACGACGATAGCGCCGAGCTGGCCGACATCCGCGACCTAGTGGAGGAGATCCAGGAGCTGCGGATGCAACTGATCGAGTCAGAGGCGCGAGCGGCTCACATGGAGGCTGAGATTCGCGACGAAGTCTCGCGCGAGATGGCGGCACGGCTTCAGGAGATGCAGGCGGCGTACGAGGCGCAGAACGCAGTTCGCGGCGAGATCCAGGAGGAAAAGTACGACCGCAGGCTCTCGATCATGAGGCGTTCAACTATCCGTAAGCAGCATGGGGCATCAGCGGCTGAAGTCGACCGTCTGCGGCGCGAGCTCGACCACACCTGCGGCCTGCTCGACGACATGCGGAGCGACCGCGACCGGCTCGCCGACGAGCTGGCAGCAGTGAAGGACGAGCTTGCCGAGGCTGCAGCTGCTGCGGCTGCGGCTGTCGGTCGTCGCGGGCTCGACGCGCTCTCACCGACGTCGACCAAGGCGGTCAACGAGCTCATCGAGGACGAGGTGCTGCAGGCTGAGGCCAACGCTCGGATGAAGATCGAGTCGCTGGAGGCGGCGCTGGCCGCTGAGGAGGACCGGTCGCGGGCGGCGCTTGCCGACGCAGCTTCACTTCGCGACAAGCTACACAACATGATGGGAAAGACGGTTGAGCTCCAGCGCGAGCTTGTTCTGCTCCGCGACTCGTCACCGATTGTTGGCCGGGTCTCCGCGGTTCCCGAGCTCCTCTCGCCGTCGGCCATCGAGGAGCTCAAGCGACTCCGGTCACTCGAGGAGCGCATCGCATCGGTGCGCAAGCCGGCCACTCCGGGTTCTGACGTGGTTGGGCGGATGGACGCCATGCTTGCATCAGGTTCGCTCATGGACCTGGAGGCAACACCGTCGGGCCGGCGGCGATGGCAGCTATCGAGTCCGCACCTGAGCCATGTGGGAAGTTTGAGCCCCAGCGTTGCCGCCGGCTCGAGTTCGTTTGCCAGCGTTGGCATCTCGGAGACGGACGCGTTGGTTGAGGCCATGGATGCTATGCTTGCATCCGAGGGTTTGAGTGGTGGAGGCGGCAGTGGTGGCGCCGATCTTGTTTCTGTCAACGACGAGTGTGAGGCCGAGACTGAGGCCGAGGTTGAGGCTGAAGCTGAGGCCGAGACTGAGGCCGAGGTTGAGGCTGAAGCTGAGGCCGAGACTGAGGCCGAGGTTGAGGCTGAAGCTGAGGCCGAGGTTGAGGCTGAAGCTGAGGCTGTTGTCAACGACGAGAACTCGATGCTCACCAGCAACGTTTCGGTCGCCAGCGCAGCAAGCGAGGCTACTCTCAAGAGGCGGCGGGACGACAGCGAGGCAGGCTCGCCCGTCTCGGGTGCCTCGGCAGGCTCGCCAATCTCGGTCGCCTCAGGCTCAATTATTCTCGACGGCTCAACCTCGATCGCGCTCGACGGCTCGTCCATGATCTCGCCGTCGTCGTCCGAGTTTGTACCGTCCGAGTCGTCGTGGGCAGAGTCGTCGGCGAGTGGGCAGAGAGGCAAGGGCAGTGGCGAGCCATCGTTCGACGTCTTTGACTTTGTGGAGGAGGAAGATCAGGTTCCGTTTGCCCCGCCGGCAAAGAAGGCGCGGCGCGGGCGCGGGCGTGGGCGTGGGCGCGGAGCCAAGGTCGAGGTTGCAGCTGATGACTCGCCGCTTGTGGAGCGGACGCCCATGGTGCGGCGGTTGCGACCGCGGCGGTGAGGCCCCGAGATTAGAGGATAAACCCCTAGCGGTAATTGTCGCGCGCCTCAAAGGGACCACACCCACCCACCATCACGCGCTGGCCAATTGGCGTCGCATGAAATGGCTGGCGGGGGGGGGGGGGGGGGCTAGCCAAAATCCCGTTCGGTGTTCCGTATTCCGCCATTGGCCGACATTGACCGTTGGCCGTTGGGAGACGGGAGCAGCCACCCTTCGACCACACTCACACTCAACTCGGTAACGGGAAGGAGGCAAGCACAGAGAGCAGGAGACGACCAAGCGTGCCACAAAGTCGGTAGGAGCATCTCAGCCGTTGACAGAGAGCAGACAGAGAGCAGACAGAGAGCAGACAGTGAGAGAGGCAGATGTCGGCGCGCAGGACAGAGAGCCGGCGCAGCGCGGCGGCGAGCGACGAGGCGCTGTGGTTCGGGACGCGGCGGGCGTCGATGAAGAGCAACGTGCTTCTCAACAAGGATGTGACCGGACAGGCGCGGAGCTCGACGCATGCACTGCCGGCTGAGGACTTTCGGTACGGGCGCCCGCCCAAGGCCGACGAACGCGGCGTGGCCAAGGCCATGACGTGGGAGGCTGACCCGCCGCCGGTGGGCGTCCAGGCTGCATCACCGGCCAAGCATCGATCGCCCGGCCGCCGCGGGGCGCGGCCGGCGCCCAAGGGCACCACTGAGCCCATCCCGGCAGCCAAGTTTGTGCCGCTTGCCTCGCGGCGGCCTGACCCGGTGCCCAAGGAGCGCGTGGCCCGGACCAAGGTCCGCAACGCCATCCGCGCCGAGGACCGCCGCCAGGCCTCGTTCGGCATGGCCGATGTGCTGTCCAACTCCGGCCAGGCCGAATACCTCGCCAAGCATCAGCAGCGCGAGCGCGCCAAGGCCGAGCGCCGCCGCGCCGCCCAGGCCGCTGCCAAGCTGCCAGGCAAGTCGTTCCGCGCCGCTGCCGCCGCCGAGGCTTCCGCCCGCCAGGGCGCCACCAAGCGTGCCGCTGCATCGGGCACTTCCCGCGATCTGTTCAAGCTCTCCAAGTTCCGCAACGTGCCGGCACGGACCCACTCGCGCCGCTCTGCGCCTGCGCCTGCTTCGTCGAGCTGAGCTGAGCTGACATCCGCCGTCCGATCCAACTCGCGGAGCGTGTGCCCGATCGAGATGGGAAGAGGAGCAAGGATTGATAAGCTCGGAATGAAAGGGTGGAGGGTGGAGAGGCAGACAAGCAAATGAGTGCAGCGTGTGGGGGAGGGCAGGGAGAGAGGGGGGGAGTGGGGCAGCCGTTTGGTCGGTTGGGAGTCGGGGGGCGGCAGATGGCGAACACACTCGACGCCACAGCTGGCGCAGAAGCAGCAGCAGCAGCAGCAGCAGCAGCAGGAGGTGGTGGTGGTGAACGGGTGCAAACAAGCATGGCAGAGGCTGGCGCTCATGTAGGCGGGGGGCAGCAGGAGGTGGCGGCGGCGGCGGCGGTGGCGGCGGCCAACAACGACAACGACAACGACAACGACAACAACAACGACGACTCGTTTGCGCTGCAGGAGGGCCTGGCGGAGGTCGAGGCGGAGCTGGACGCCATGCGGGGCGATAGAGAGAGTCTGCGAGCACGACTGGACGGGGCCGAGGCTGCCGCGGCTGCCTTTGCTGACGTTCGCGCCGAGCGGCTGGCGCTGGAGGTCCGGGTGGCCGAGCTGGAGACGCAGCTGGCGGCAGCGAGAGCGACGGCGTCGGCGGCGGCGTCGGCGGCAGCGGCGGAGAAGAACGCGCTGGCTGCTGAGCGGGACGCAGCTTTGGAGCAGTACACCGCGCTGCAGGCCATGTGTGCCTCTATTGAGGTGCGTGCAGAGGCTGCAGAGGCCCGCGCAGGCCTGCGGTCCGAGGCTGAGCGGTCCCAGGCCGAGCGGTCAGTCATCCTGGCCCAGGAGGAGCGCAACATCATGCGGGCGCGGCTGACGCTGGTAGAGGCACAGCTGTTGGATGCACAGGCGGCAGCCGATACTGCTGCCACCGCGGCTGCCAACCGCCATCGCATGCTTGAGGCCCAGAACGAGCGATTGGCGGCGCAGCTGGCCGAACTTGCTGCCGCGAACGCCAGCTCCCGCAGCATGAGCCTGGACGAGACGAGCGGGCACGAAGCGCTCGCTGCGGCGCTTGAGACCAAGAACGCAGAGCTGGCCCGAGTGCGGAGCCAAAACGCAGCGCTACGCGAGTCGCTCGCCGCAGCCGAGGCCGACGCTGCCCTAGCCACGCCGGTGGGCGGCAGCGACCGGCCACCAGCAGTCGACGCGCCAGTAGGTTGGGCTTCCGAGCGGGCCTCGCTTCTCCAGGTCATCGAGGAGCAGACGTCGCTGTTGACGGCGCTCGAGGCCGAGCTGGCAGCAGGCAGTGGAGTATACTCCGCGGCAGGGGACCCGCGGTACAATCCGGCGCCGATTGACTCGTTGACAAGCGGCGGGCGCGACGAGCTGTCGCGGATGGCCGCAGGAACTGACGACGAGCAAGTGGCTTGTGCTGGTGCCGTGCTCGACGAGAGCATCGCCGCTGTCAAGGCCAAGGTCTCGTACCTCGAGTCTGCGGGCTGGCACGTGCCGGCCGCTGGGCACAAGGTCTCGTTCCGCGACGATCTCCCGACCAAGTTTGCATCACCGGTCGAGGCCCTCGAGTGGCTGCGTGAGCTGCTGTGTGAGGCGCAGGCGGTTGTACAATCGGCAAAGGCATATCGCAACGACCTTTCTGCTGCACTGCACGAGAAGCACCTGCTCCTGGAGCGGATGTACGCCGACTACGCCGAGGGTGGCATGGGCGGGCGCGAGCCGAGCCGCATCCGCTGCGCCAAGGTCGAGCGTGCGCTGCGAGTCACTGAGCATGCCCTCAGGGTTTCGCGCGCGTCCGAGGTCAAGCCCGAATATCTGGATGCGCTGCACGAGATCCGGGCTGGCGTGGTCGGGCTTGTCCGCGCGCTGGACGTTGCCGACCTGCGGCGGGCGACGGCCAAGGCCGTCGAGGCAGCGAAAGTCACTGTTCTGCACAAGTAAAGTACTTGCTCAAATATTGGCTTTATGGTGCTTGGAGGCAAAGAGAGGTAGCCGCTGCCGGAGCATCGCCACATTGTTACGCATGTACGGGAGGGAAGCGGGGTTGGTGGCGTGCGGGGTGTGCGAAAATCAAAGATCAAGAAAAAAGGCGGGTCATGCTTACTATGTCACATAAACAACACTGCTACTCGCTGCACGATGGTGGTAGTGCGACGGAGCATGTGTGTATGTGTATATGTACATGTACGTATGTGTGATAACTACCCAGAATAAGTTCACCAGATGTGGCCTGAGCTCGTCGATGTTCATTCCGCGGCGACACACACACGCGCGCGCCCGGACGGACGGCTTGGGCTTGGCTTCACCTGGTAGTTTCCTGACTAGACTGGGGTCACTCTGGGAGCGATCGATCGCATCCAGCGGTTATCTGTGGCGTCAATCGTCCCAGAGCGAAGGGAACCAGTACGACGGCTCCTTCCCCTGCTCGTCGACCCAGGCCATGCCCTCCTGGACAAGTAGATCGAGGACGGCAGAGATGCGGTGGTCGGGCCAGGAGAGGGCATCCTTGATGGAGGAGCGCGTGACCGAGGCCGAGTCCTGGGCAAGGAGCAGGACGGAGGAGTGGTCGATGTTGAGCTCGCACGGGACCGATTGGATGAGCTTGGATGCACCGACGTTGAGGATGGCGTAGCCGTTGCCAAGGACGCGCAGCTTCTTGATGGCGCGCTCGATGTCGTCCTCAGTGATTTCCTGGGCGGTGGCGGCGCGGCGGGTCTGAAGACGGCGCTTGAGCTCGTCCATGAGGATGAGGCCGCCGTTTGCGGCGCGGGTGGAGAGGCAGACGTCGACGATCTGGACGCCGAGCTCGTAGTAAAAGTCACCGAGGCCGAGGAGCTTTGACCAGAACGACTTTCCGACTGCAGGGTGTCGACGCCGATGTCTGCGCACATGCGCTGAAAGTGCATACGGAAGGCCGGGTTGCGGTTGATGTCGCTCTTGTACTGCGCCGCAAATGAGGCCAGCGACGACTGGAAGACCTCCAGCTGCTCGCGCACGTTCTGCACCTTGGCCTCCTCCACCGATGCGCCGACGTCCTCGAACCGTTTCTGCGAGGATGAGGGTGAGGAGAGTGAGGAGGATGAGGAGGGGGATGGGGGATGGGGGATGGGGGGGGGTGAGGAGGAGGTGGTGGGGAGGTAGGGTGTAGGCTGTCTGGGGCATGTACCTTCTGCTGCTGGCGGCGCTGGATGCCACCGATGCCACCTCTGCGGCGCATGGTTGGTACACGTGTGTATGTGCGAGTGTGCGAGTGAACGAGTGTGGGGTGTGTGCGAGTGTGGGGTGTGTGCAAGTGTGAGGGTATGGGGGAGGTGGGTATGGGTGGCGGTGGTCGGTGGCTGGTGGAAGTGGTCTGTGTCGTGTGGCCGCCACCAGTCCCCGCCTTCCATCGCCACCCGCCACTGCCACCACCGGCCACTGTCTTGGGAGACGGACGACAGGTCGAGGTCGAGGGCCAGGCCTGCCACCTCTACCACCTCTACCACCCATGCCTACCCCGCCACCACCACACGTCTCCTTACCCCGCCTCTGCACAGGTAGAGTGCACGCACAGTACGCCCCCCCCCCCCCCCCCCTCCCTCCCACGTTCATTGTCCCTGTCCCTGTCCCTGTCCCCTCTGCTCGCGGTGACGTGGGCGACCTCCCCTTCCCTCTCGTCCGCGCCCACTCACCCCCTCCCCCCCTACCCCCGCCCTCGCCCCCCCCCTCCCTCCTCCCCCCTCCTCCCCCACATCTTTAGAAGCCACCCCCTTCACCTCCCCACCCCACACAACTCTACAAGTCATGTCCGACCACCTCCCACCTCCCACCCCTCCGCTGCCCGAGCCGGTCGTCCAGAGGCTGCGAAAGACCTCCGAGTCTCCATCGGCCCTCCTCAGCGCACGCCGGGCGGCAAAGGCCGATCCGACACGGGTGCCTGCGGCAGAGCCGGAGCTCCCGGCAAAGGCGTTGTTTGGCGCCGGAGGGCAGGATATCGGTACTGCTGGCGGCGGAGTCATCGAGGCTTCGGCTGCGGCATCCGTCCTGTTTGGCGCGCCGGGAACGGAGCGGACGGCGCCGCTTGCCTCGAGCGTGTCGAGCGTGGCCAGTGCTGGACCTGCATCAGCGCTGTTTGACCAGTTTGTGACGACTAAGCGTGGGTCGCCGGCAGCTGGGAGTGGTGCTGGCGGTGATGACAACTCGTTCTTCTCCAAGATTCTCTCCAAGCCTGTCGAGTCGGACGGCGGGTTCTTCCAGCAGTTCTCGGCGAGCACGGCGTCGCTGGTGGCCAAAGAGGTTGATGCTGGTGGTGACGACGAGGTCGATGACGGGTTTCTGTCGCAGTTTGGCGCTGAGCCGACTGCAGAGCCCGGCGACGGCGGCGTGGATGCCGGCAGTGGGACCCTGGGCCAGTTTGCAGCAGCTGCTGGCCACGGCGGGTTCCTGGATCAATACGGAACGGCCAGCGTGAAGTCCTCACCGGCGAGCGAAGTCGTGGAGTCCGACACTGGCTTCTTTGGAAACTATGCGTCGGAGGCACTCACCGAGCCTGCTGTTGCCTCGCCGGCGACCGAGCCAGTGGAGTCCGAGGGCGGCTTTTTCGACAACTACGCGGCGGAGCCTGCTGCCGAGCCGTTTACCGTGGCCGAGCTTGCTGTTGCCCCACCGGCAACCGAGCCAGTGGAGTCCGAGGGTGGCTTCTTCGACAGCTACGCGGCGGAGCCTGCTGTCGAACCGTTCACCGCGGCCGAGCCTGCTGTTGCCTCGCCGGCGACCGAGCCAGTGGAGTCCGAGGGCGGCTTCTTTGACAACTACGCGACCGAGCCTGCCGTGGAGCCGTTCACCGCGGCCGAGCCTGCTGTTGCCTCACCGGCAACCGAGCCAGTGGAGTCCGAGGGCGGCTTCTTCGACAACTATGCGGACGAGCCTGCCGTCGAGCCGTTCACCGCGGCCGAGCCTGCTGTTGCCTCGCCGGCAACCGAGCCAGTGGAGTCCGAGGGCGGCTTCTTCGACAACTACGCGGCCGAGCCTGCTGCCGACCCGTTCGCTGCGACCGAGCCTGCTGTTGCCTCGCCGGCAACCGAGCCAGTGGAGTCCAAGGGCGGCTTCTTCGACAACTATGCGGACGAGCCTGCCGTCGAGCCGTTCACCGCGGCCGAGCCGTTCACCTGCGGCCGACTGCTGTTGCCTCGCCGGCAACCGAGCCAGTGGAGTCCGAGGGCGGCTTCTTCGACAACTACGCGGCGGAGCCTGCCGTCGAGCCGTTCACCGCGGCCGAGCCGTTCACCGCGGCCGAGCCTGCTGTTGCCTCGCCGGCAACGAGCCAGTGGAAGTCCGGAAGGGCGGC